GATTCACTGGGTTTAGCTGTGGTGACTCTGAATCGTCGACACGAGAGTCAATTTCCGTCACTTTTCTTCAGAGATTTCCTCTGTAAGAAATAGAAGAAAATGTGGCTCCAGAGGTTTATTTTGTTGGTTAAAGATGAAATGTACTTCTGAGGTACCACAAACCACAAAGCTGAGATCTGCTCTCCGGGTAATAAAAAATCGTTCCCTCCTGTCTACTCAGCTTCAGAGGAAGCGGCACATAGGAAACGATATCGTGGCTGCGGTCTTCCAGGAGGAAGCCACGCCATTTGTCCCAGACATAATCGCCTCCAATTTCCTGCACGCGTACGTCCTGGTGCAGGTGGAAAACCCATGTACTGATCACACAACATACAAGGTAGTACTGCGAGCAGTTGGAGGAACTTTTTTAAAATACTAGAAAGAAAAGAAAGAAATCTCCTGTGTGTCTGACCAACGTGTCTTGACTGGACAGGTGTCTGTTACTGCCAGGGAAGACGTTCCTCCTTTTGGACCCCTTCTTCCGAACCCTGCCGTCTTCAAGAAGGTGAGTCTCCGTCATTAAAATTGGACTGAAGTCTGGACTTTATTTTCTCTGCAACGACCTCACGGGGCAGAAGGGAGTCAGGGTTCAGGCTTCACTATCTGCACTAATGTTTTAGTTTGGATGTTCACTGATCCATAGGCAAGAAAAAGAGACCATGGTGACACATTATCATTTAGACAGGGTGTGAATTATTCAGGGAGTTTCAGGGGCTGCCGTAAAAACATAGTCTAAAGACCAAAAGGAGGAAAAAAACAAAATCAAAGTGATAATATCAAATTCAACAATAATTAGGGTGCAGGCAGGGGTGCTCGTTAGGGATGTCCAGTAATAATGGCCGACTGATATTATCAGCCCGATATTAGCATAATAATTTAATATCTGAAAGAATTCATTGTGTGATCGGGTTTTCATTATTGGAGAAAAAAAAAACGATAATGAAAACCCGATAACACATTGCCTGGGTTTTACAAATGATGTGTGACCCAAAAATAGTTTTGGGGAAAACGTCTGTATATGAAGGTAAAAGCCACTAGATGGCAGCATTTCAGCTCATTTTATTAATCTATTTTAACGATTGTATGCAGAATGCTGGTGTCAGAACAGTGGTTTATAAAGATTAATTAATTAATATTATATAAATACAGATGGCACTTAACTTCCTTAACCACCAGGCCACCACTGCCCCGCTATATCGGTATTGGTTGATATCGGAATCGGAAATTAAGTGTTTGGCCAATATCGGCAGAGATCAACTGATGGAGTTCTGGTTTCTTTTCACAGTTCTAAACCAGGTTAACGGGTTTATTTTATTGAGTGCAGTATAAAGATGCCCCACTGATGAACAGGACGTGACCCAGACATGTGTTCGTTAGTGGAAGCAGGTGTTTGAACAACAGCGTAATGAATGAATGAGCTTCTGTGTGATCCAGGTGAACTGATGTCACCTCAGCTCCCGCTTCATTTAAATGTTAAATCCAATGTCCTACATTGAAAAAAAAATTAAATAAAAGATTAATGTGAGTCTTACGTTTACAGGAGGAGATCCAGCTCCTCATCAAACCACCGTATTAGTACTGTAATTACAGACTGGAGACAGACGGGAATTTAAATCAGCAAGGGTCACAATTGTGATTGGACACATGGTGCTGCCAAATTGAAATCTGCGTGGTGCTGATAAAGGTCACCTTCTCCTTCCAACCCTCACCGCACTCTCCACTGCTGTGGTTCAGCGTCGGACTCACTCACCCACCTCCTGCCTCCTCACTCTCCTCCTCTCTGCCTCCCGGGGCCGGAGTATCGACACGTAAAGCTGATCAATGCTGAAAACGCCTGCTACAAGTCGGACAAATTTGCCAAACTAGAGGTGACACACACACACACACACTCACAGTGAAAACAGTGTGAGTGGCTGCAGCCCAGCTACTTCATCAGCACGACGCCACCTGGGTCGTGTCACGGCACGGGTTTCATTTCCATGTGTGCAAATCGATTTCAGGGGCGAACACGAGCCGCCCTGCTGGACAACCTTCATGACGAACTGCACAGGCAGAGCCAGGCCACGCTGGGCCTGGGGCAGCCGGGAGAGGAGGACAAGCTGGAGAACGGTGGACACGGGGGTCTGCTGGAATCCTTCAAGGTGATCATTTGTCAGAACTTTGCAAATATTATGACATATTCCTTTGGGGATGATTATTTCTGCAGGCAAATAATATTTCACAGAAATAAAGTTGCGACCTTTATTATGACAAATGCTCAGGTTTATATCAACAATAGAGAAATAAAGCTATATTTTTGATATATAAATACATACATATAGATAGACACACACATTATATTGTAAACTGTGTAATTATATTAAAGCTGTAAGTATAAATATATAGTATATAAATATTATAAATCATATTATTATCATATACGTACATATGACTACGATGTGACAATTTGTTTCTTCGTTTCTTCCCAGGCATCATGGCCAGCTACTTTATACTTCATACATTCAATCCCAGGGGGCGCTGTTCTCATTTCTGTCATGGCAGTGGCTGCTTATTATTACTTATCCACATGACAATTCATGGACTGGAGCACGGCCTTATGATCAATAATTTTTTTTTTCCCTTCTGTACTTTTGTGTATATTTTTGAAATAACCCAAATCAGTGCAGTGCGGTTACGTTCAAATCACTGAAAATATAAAACAAAACCTCAAATAAATATCGGAGGGAATTAATTTTGTCATAAATTAAACTGTGATGGTTGTTGTCATGAAGCTCATTAAAATACTGAGTAATAAAACGTTTATCTCGCTGCTTGAATCCAGTTTCTCGGTTACTTGGAGAAGTGCGCCCTCTGGTGATGGCACATGTAATAACTCGTTTTAAAACTTTCACTTTTATTTCAGTTTCTCTTTCGCTTCATGGACTCCAGATCAGTATCTATGGAGCTCAGTTTTAAAATCCACCTTTCTTTCTTTCTTTCTTTCTTTCTCCTGCAGAGAGCCATGCGTGTCAGGAGCCACTCCATGGAGACCATGGTGGGGTCTCACCGTCACCGGAGCCCCGGTGTGGGTGGAGGGGTGCCAGCCAGCCTGAGTGGTGGAGGACTGCCTCAGAGCACCAGCGAATGCACAAAGAGCACTTTCAATGTAGGTACAACCTCTGCCCTGACAGAGAGTGGATGGCAGGTTATCAAAGGGGATGCACTATTGTCATTTTACTAACAAAGGGGGACAACGCCGCCCCCTACAGATCGCCTACAGGGTGCAAGTCAGAGAAAAATAAAAATAATAATAAATCACTCCCTTACATAAGGAAATTTAAAGTATTTAAATCAGTGAAGAAGTGAGTAATTCATAATGTCTTTCTTAGCGTAGTGTTTAGCACGCCTGCCTCGGAAGCAGAGTGTCCTGGGTTCGATTCCCAGAGGAACCACATTAAAAGTGTCTGCTAAATGCAAATGTAAAATTGTCTGAAATGAGAATTTGAAAATGCTGCTTTGGATTTTCAAGTTTACTCCGTAAGATTTTCAAAATTACTCCCTGACAGTTTTAATACTAGTCCCTAAGTAGGAATGCACCTTTTTCTTTTTTTTAATGTTTTAATACTAGTCCCTAAGTAGGAATTCTACTTTTGCTCTTTTTAACGGTTGATTTGGGCTGAGGTCTTTTGTGGATCTAGTTAGACTCCAGTGACTAAACTCTTAATTGTTGTCATTTGTGATCTCCAGCCTCCAGTATTACCAGGAAAGTCTCCTCTGAAGAGTCCGGTCAAGCGGCGCTCAGGCCTCTTCCCTCGTCTCCACTCCAGCACAGACACACCCTCAGACAAACAAACACGCAGGTCGCTGTCTAAATCTTCAGTCTTTTTTTAAGTTCTGCTCAGTGTCAGTGATTGGCAGTCTGTACAGACACTGTCTTACACCAAGGATCTATCTGTTCTTGTTGTGTGTAAATATTAAAATATACTTTCTTTTCTGCAGTGACCAAAAGCCCACTGAGACCTGCCCACTGTCCCAAGAAGTAAAGTCAGAGACATCATCCAACCCAAGTTCACCAGAGATCTGCCCCAATAAAGACAGGTGAGGGGGGCAGAAAAAAAAGCTGCTTACAGCAGTAGATTTTTACAGTTTCTTCCATGTCTCACATCACACAAAAATAGTTTTGGGGATTAACGGTTGTATATTCAAGTGAAAGTTTATCGACTTTTCTTTTTCTTCACAGGCCGTTTGCCAAGCTGAAGGACTGCAGCAGCAGTCGACCAAACATCTCCCGTTCCTCATCCAGCACCAGCAGCTTCAGCAGCACCACGGGAGAGACTGAGGTTCTGGAGGAACTGGAACCAGTGAGTTCTAAGACAGCTGATCGGTGCTGCACTTAGCAGTTGCTGTTTATTTGTTTCAGTGAGAGTGAATGTGTGAGAAGTGTCACGTCTTTCACAAAGGAAATGGTCTGTAATTAGTGGTGTCAGAAAAAGAACGTTGAATGTCAGTGCATTTATTACAATAATTACACTTGTTGTGAAGCTCATGACACCAGTGGTCCATGGAGGTATTTTTTATTTTCCACTCAGTTGTGTTTAAGATGTCAGTCTCTTATTTAAAGAGGAAAACCAAATGTCAACACAGGAGTTTGTCCGTTGAAGGATGTTCTTTCATGACTGTTTACAAGGTTTAGACTTCAGACGGCACATTAAAATTCCTTTTTAATAATGAAAGCTGATCAGAAAAAAATATTTATATATAGATTAAAAACAGACCTAAATGTGTTTCAGTCAGAAATACGACTCACACATACAAGAAATTTAGATATTTTTGGCTGGATTTTGTAATTGTATTGCATTTGTGGAAAATATGAGCTAAGAGTAGCTGGAGTTAGAAAGTGTAATGTCTAAATGGAAGGGGGGGCAGTGAGCTTTAGGCTATCTTTTGGCTATCTTTGAGCTATTCTTTGACAAACCATTGATAGATATGCAGTAAAGACATAAGACAATACAGACAGAGACATGCTTTATTGTCATTGTACATAATGCATCACGTACAACTTTAGTGGCTCCATAGTGTAGCGGTTATCACGTCTGCCCTACACGCAGAAGGTCCTGGGTCCGAGTCCCAGAGGGACCGAATACTTTTCGAAGAGTTTATTGCCCCGTTGCGGGACAAATAATTGACTTCAATGTAATTGGTTTTATATATTTATTTAAAACAGTAGTCCTTGCATTTGTGAATCAGTGAGCTGAGCTCAACCACACCAGACAAACGATGTCTGCTTTGGAACTTGCTCCAGACACCACAGCCCAGCTGTTCAGGGTTTTTTTTTTCTGGCAGACCTTTAGTCACGAGCCTAAATCTGTGACCACATACCACGGGATCTTTCTGGTGAGGTTTTCCATCTGTCTCTTCCACTTTACCAACTGTGTTCTTTCCTCTTTTCAGTCTGTCCTTCAGGGGGGCCACCCGTCAATCACTTCCTCCTCTGCCTTCAGCCCGACCCTGAGCGTGGACAGCCAGGCCTCAGGTACGCCGGTCATCATGTGCCGCAGTCCGACAGGTAAAGATAAAAAAAAGTGACTCTGAAACAGAGTGTTCAAAAGTCTTTAGTTTTGTGTCGTCTGTGTTGAACTTCACTCCTCCTGTTTCTGACAGCTGTAGATGGAAAAAACAAGACGTCACCCAGGTCAAACTTGAAGTTCCGCTTTGACAAAATAAGCCACTCATCCACAGCTGTGAGTACCCAGTGTTCATCTGGTTTAATCTCTTTATTATTATTATTACTAGGGCTGTCAAACAAATCAATATTTTAATCTAAATAATCAATCATGATTAGTCACGATTAATCGTGAGAAAGTTTTAATAACCATCTAGTGCCACCTAGCGGAAGAGGATTTAATTTCTCTGCCTGACGAACAAAGACAAAATATTTGCAATAAATAAATAATAGTTTTGGGAAAATTGGATAATTTTCTTACATTTTACATTTTTTTACATTTTTGGGGGGATACATTTTGCTAATTAAATAATGTAATTAAGCTGTTAATCTTGACAGTCATATTATTTTTGCTAATTAAATAATGTAATTAAGCCGTTAATCTTGACAGTCATATTTATTATAAAAAAAAACTCTCCTCTGACTGACTTGTTGTTCACCTCTTTTTCAGTCTGAGTAGATTTGTGGAGTTGGGGAAAAAAATGCACAACAAAGGGACAACACGGGCTGAGGAAGTTCTACCCAGAAATAACATGAATAGAAACATCAGAACATCATCAGCGTAGAACCTCCTCCCTTAAAAGCCAAGGATAATCTGACAGTACTCCAACCTGCATCAATACTGTGAGTGTACGTGGAAGACTCTTTTTTTTTTAACCAAACCTTTGGCTACAGAAGTTATTTGTCGTTACAACTTGCTGCATCTCTGTAGTTGTTGGTTAACTAAATATTTAAGTCATGGCATGGCTGTTATACTGTGATGGCGCGGTCCCGCCCGACTGTACCGTTGTACGGTACGTCTGACAGCAGCTTCTCATTTGTCGAAAAACAGATACTCGTGTTCGAAAAAAAAAAAGAAACTTCATGTACTGTCATCCAACAGTAGCAAAGCCTCATGAGTGGTTACTCTGGGAGTCCACCGTAAGATGTGAACCTGTCCGTTTCATACAAACAAACGCTTTAATAGGGAACGTAAAGCTTGTGTAGCCTCGTTAGCTGCCGCAGTGTCTACTGCACTGTAGACGCCGCTATGCTAATCGTCAGTTGTTGCTATGGCAGCAGTGGAGTTTGTCGGAGCTTACGGACTGGAGCGCTATGTCAGAGGGAAATAAGTTCACATCCGACACAACAGGTGACACTGCCGACAAACATATCGCTATTAGCTTTCTAGCCAAAGCTGCGCCTTACAATCTGTCCAAAGTCATGATGCTATTTCTGTCTTTTTCTCTCTCGCACTTCTTCTTTTTCTTTTTTTTTTACTTCTCCCTCTCACCAGAATTTAGAAACATCCGATGTGGTCAATGAAAAGCAGCAACATTTGCTCAAAGCAGTTCTTGCACTTACCTGAAAACACTTTGCGCTACGATACCTCCCATTGAAGCTTGCTAGCTCAGTGTATCTATGTCTATATATATATTTGATGAAACCTGCAAACGGGAACCTCTGCGAGGTTTTAGGATTTGGCAGCATGTGCGCGGATGAAGACGACTTGAAAACATTTGCTTCAGGTGAAAAGTAAACCTTCAAATTGATTTTGGGGGGAACCGTTATGAATGTGAAGTTGGAGCACTGTTTGTACTTATTTTTTTTTGTTTTGTTATTATATTGTAGCTCAGAATTATTTTTTTTAAAAAGCCCCTTGCTTATAAGCACAACATTACAGACCGTAGTAAGGGATGTAAATGGAAGTTAATGAGTCAAATAGAAGCTTTAAAAGACGTCATCTGTGTGTTTCCTGTTACCAAACATATGGATCTCCATTTTGTTACACAGGCTTAAAAACCTGTTGAATTCCTGTCCCATCAAAACAAACACATTTTGAGGCTCAAGCCCCTAAAAAAACAAAAAACCCTTATATGAAGTTTGACAAGCTGTCTTAATTTTAAACCAATAATTTTACTATTAGTAAAGATAAGAGGAAATGAAAATTGTGAAGAGGAAATGAAGCAAGAAGCGAAGTCAGGTTGACTCTAGCAGATGTTTTTTTTTTGTACATAGGCTTTAATTTATTTTTTTGAAGGAATCACTTTTTTTGAGTTAATGTCAAAATATGTAAAATTGTAAGAGCAGAGTACGCAATTTAACAAAATAAGACGATTGAGTAAATGTGTTAATTTAAGAGATGTCTAAACATGTATATGTATATTTGGTTATGTAACGTGTACCTGAGAATTTATTCTAAAATAAAAATGTTGTATTTTGTGTCAGTTCCGTGTTTTCCTTAATTTTTCAGATTCTGTTCTGGTTTTGTTTTTGGTTGCGCCCAGATCTTGAGCCACGCCTAATATTTATCATCATTTATCATCACAGTATCGAGAACTCTTTTTTTCACATGTATTGACCTAAACATATGTAACATCTTTGCATTTTTGCATTTTATGTCCAGTCAATCAATCAGTCATTCTATCTATCTATCAGCCTCTCCTTTTCAAGGTAACACACCAAAGAGAGTTGAAGTTAGAGTCGCTTCTGAAGCAGAGGGCACAGAGTCCTGGGTTCGATTCCCTGAGGTACTCTCAGGCAGTGAGAAGCTCCGGACCTCTTTCGTCCATGTCGTATCTTTCTGGTGTGCACAAGAAATTGGTGAGGTCCTCCTGAAAGTGTCTGAAAGATTTCTCCACAAACGTTTCATCTCCACCGTGCCTTGGAATGCCTTTAGGAAAATCTGACCGAGGCGTAAACCGTCGCCTGCGTCGATTCTTCCGGGACCCTGTTCTGACTCCGTTTGTCCAAACGAACACTTGTATACACCACCTGTCAGGTTTAAAAAAACAAAAAACAAAACTTCATATACACTGCACTGTTGTGATCTGAGTGAGGTGTACAGTCTGTACCCACCTCGTGTTTTTTCTCCGACACGTCGAGAGCTGCAACTGGGGGGAAAAAAATACACTGATAAAAAACAGTTTCTGTCAGTTTTCATGGACTCAGATCTAACAACCCGACAAAGTACCTGCACGGGAGTGATTCTGCCTCGCTAGGTTTCGTTGTGGAGGAAGAGGAGGAGGAGGAAGAGGAGAATGTGAACAGCTTCTGTGTCTAGGTGTGTGTGTGGACCGAGTCCCAACACGTGGCTCAGGTTTGGTCCTTGAACTGAGGCCACGGGCGAGTCCAAGGATGACAGGAAGACAGAGAAAAGCAGCGAAACAGACCAGAAGTCTGTGATGAGGGACTCTCTGAGAAGGAACGGCTGAACAAAACACATCAGGGAGTGAGTTAATCATATCATGTCTTACTCAAACACATATTTTACTCTTATCTATTACAAAGATTCATCATTAGTCGACAAGTGTGACCCATATGTACCTCCTGTGACGTTGACGTACATTAAATTCCCTTGATCAGTGTCATCGTCCTCCCATGTCACTGAACACTTGTAGGAGCCTTCATCCGACCGGAGGACACGCAGCAGATTTAAATCCAGGTTGGTTTGGTTTCCTGACACCGACCCTCTGGTCAAACGATGCCTGTCAAAGTTCACGGCGGTGAATGTTTGACTTGTTGTGTTTTTCCAAACCCACGTTCCCGTCCAGGGTTGTCCACAGTGCTGGACCACACAGGATAAGGACAAACTTCTGCCTTCTGCTACAAAGAATGTTGCACGTGTTGCCAAAACAGCCGGGCAGCATTCTTCGGCAGAGGAACCTTGAAGAGGATGGTCAACTTTAGTCAACTTTGTAATCAGGAAACATCCAGATGATTACGTTACTGTACGGTTTCCCTGTCATGTACAGATTAAATTAAATATTAAGATTTTGAGAAGGACTTTAGATGCAAACTTACCGGTGAGAAAGCAGAACCAGCTGATGACAGTGACAGCGTAGTAGAGATGCATCTCTGACTGTCACTGGGTCACAGGTCTCTGGTACTTCCTGAACACTGTTTCATTTCCATGTCCAGTCTTGTCTTTTCGGGGGACGTACAGTACTCACTTTCTTGTTTTGGTTATCAGTCACATGACACCAGGTTTTCTATATCCTGTGGTCGCGCTTGTCTAAATGGAGGTAAAGGAAGGAAGTCAACTGTTAATCATAGTCATAACAAACTCACACACACTTGCAGTGGGGGAAGCCACTAAGAAACAAAAAAGAAAAAGGCAAGACCAGTTCTGCAATGCCTGGTGTCAGTTTAATTCTAAAAAATAAAACAAAAATAATTCTATTGCAGTTTGAGCATTACAATAACCTGACAAATATGTATTTATTTAATTGGTTTGTACGTGTGTTACTGTTGTCTCGGTGCAGCTGGTACGCATTAACGTGAGCTTCTTCGTTAATGTTCTTTAAATATGGTCGACGACGTCATTAGTACGACTGTGTGACAAAATGGTGGATTGCTTTAACTCTGCGGCTCCTTAAAGAAAACCATTGACAAGTTGTGGGTTCATGTTAATAACATAACATATTTTTTGTCAGAGTCAATTTTATTTGGAAATCCATGAAATCACATTCACGCGAAGATCACGTGCGATCTAATCTAACGTGATTGGTTGTGTGTAGTCAGGTGGTGCAGCGTCTCTTATTGGTGGAGCCGTTCTCTTACGTGTGATCAGAGATATTTTAAAAAAACAAACAAAAAAACACGACAGACCGCGGTTAACAATCGTCGATCGACGGTACAATGTGTACGTGTCGACTCCGTTGCCCTGTGACCCAGTGTACCTTGCTTGGTTCTGAAACGCAACGCCCAGAATACGTTTTTTTTTTTTTAAACTTAAACGGACGGCATTGACTGGGGACGCCTGCGTGAGACCGCGCGGTTTGACGTCACAGCCCCCACTACTGCCTTTCAGGACTTCAAGTTTAAGTTGAGAAAAACTTAGTTGTCATCGTCACCATGTCCGTCCGGGTGTTAGAAATTATCTTTTTCCTCTACTTTGCTTCCCACATTCCCATCACGTTATTTATCGACCTACAAGCGCTGCTGCCTGAACATGTGTATCCGCAACCGGTGAGTAACCAGACTCGGAGTTACGGACTAGTTACAGAGACAATGTCACCGTGTCGGATCTTTAAAATGACTTAAAAATGCAACGGTTAAAATTATTAGTAGTCATCGGTCATAGTAGATGTATTCAACAGAGGGGTCGCAGCACCCACGGTGTCCAGGAAGTTACTGTACTACGGTCGTGATTTTTTTTTTTTTGTAAATTAGTAACGATCAAAATAAGGAACGTGAACATATGAACCAGTATATTTTAACGCTGTACTCACAGCCCGGTTTAATAAAACAATTTTATTATTCAGTCAACACGGTTTTTAAATATCTCAAAGGCTTCTGCTTTTTTTGTTGGGAAAACTGTGTTGTTCATTTTCCATCTATCAGAAGTCGCAAAATATGAATAAAGCTGACAGTTTCTCAGACCCTCAAACTTATGAGGAGGTGAAGTAAGGACTTCCTACTGTATATATGTTTTATATTATCTGTGTGAACTAGCATATTTGCAGTATCTCATCATGTTGTACTATTGTAATAATGCACAGGTTTATGTTAGCTCTCTAAGTGTTTTTGTAATTTTTTTTAAAAATTCCATTCTCTTTGTTTCCTGCAGCTCAAAGACCTGTTGAAGTGGTACACAGGGGAGTTCAAGGACCCGATGATGCTTGATCCCCCGTACTGGTTCAAGTCCTTCATCCTCAGTGAAGCCCTCTTACAGTTGCCTTTCTTTCCCGTTGCCGCCTACGCTTTTCTCAAAGGTCAGTCGACAGTTGGCACAGGCCGAGATTACTATCCATATGATACTGTAATTTAGGTTAAAGGTGTCATCAAAAGAATAAGTTCACAAGGTCAATGTGAAATAATGAAAACAATAAAATTAAAAAGACTTAAAACTCGGTATTATTGCGAAAGAACTGTATCTTTACAGACAGTATTTTACCTGGGAGGATTACTGTTGTCTGTGTGTTTCTGTCTCAATTTAAAGCTAAATCAATTCCACATAATAATAATAATAATAATGGAGCATAAAAAAAGCACAAACATTTTTTTTCCATTGGCTTTTTTTTCTGTATAACAGCAATAACCACTCCTGCCAAAAACAACGTGGTGTTGCCCTCACGTTCTACATTTTACGTTCCTCTTTTTAACCAGCAGAGGGCAGAAAAACACAAGGACTCCGATAAGATAATATAGGGACATTCTTCAGCTGCTTAGAGTCCAGGCTTTCTAACTCCTATTACAATACGTCAGCTTTATTTATTATTATTGTTAGTTATGTTTTATTATTTTTGTTATTATTATTAAGCATTGTAAGGATGGAATCTGTTTTTTTTTATTTCAGGTGGCTGTAAATGGATCCGGGTTCCTACCATTGTTTATTCCTCACACGTGGCTACTACACTGCTACCAATTCTAGCCCACGTCCTTTTCCATGACTTCCCACTGAAACCCCACCCTGGGCCTCAGACTCTGAAGGAACGTTTGCTGCTCGTCTCCATTTATGCACCATACCTGCTGGTGCCTGTGCTAATGCTGCTCACCATGCTAATGTCGTCGACGTACAAATCCACCTCCAAGTCCAAGACCAAGTCCAAGACCAAGAAGCACTGACACCTGTCTCATCTGCTGTAATCAAGTGTAGAAGAAGTGAATTAAGCTAGTTGTCAGTGGGGTTTTTTTTGACACTTTCTTGGTGGATACTGGGAATTTTGTTTCACCTTATTGTTCTGGTTTTTTAAATTTTTTTTATCTAAAGTCTAGAGAGCTGGCTGATGGGAACTTTTTACATTCTGCCCATTTTTGCCAACATTAGCTATGTTTACGAAGACAGCGCTGTGATGATTTGGAATACTACTAAACACTAATCTGACACACACTGCATGTGGAGAGAGGTTTCAGGTTAAACCACAGAAATAAAAATAGATATTTAAAGAAACAGGTAATTTGTTCATGACTTCTGGTTTGGTGTTATTTAATGTTTACTCCACATAAACATGATTTAATTTCAAGGCAAAGCTGCTTAAAGGAAATGAATTGTTAAGATGGTTCTGAAGACTTTTGTGATTAAAACTTAATCTGCCTTAAAGATGGCCATTTGTCAACATTTTACATGAATATGAAGAGCAGTTTTTTTTATTATACAACATTCTAAACAACCCAAACATTTCCGTTTTGTTTTTGTTTTTTTTAGCAGTCATAACCACCTTCAACCAGCAGAGGGCAGAAAAACACAAGGTCCAGTTAAGGTTCCTTACCTTCCGTAGAGTCCATGATTTTCTATTTTGTTATTACTGTCCTCGTTCACCACATTTCACAGTTTGTTATATCATATTATATTAAATTATATTAAAACAAAACCACTTAATAAAAACATTTGTTAATGATGATACACATTCAGCCAAAACCACTTAATAAAAACATTTGTTAATACTTTATTTTATGATACACATTCAGCCTTAACTGACCCCAGACATACAACAATAAATACCTGTGTATGTACTGTACAGGTGGCATGTTTTCTTCTACAGTTTTCTGAATTGTTTGGGTGGTTTTATACACTGGAAAAACGAGTAATAAATCAGCAGCCAATCCCCATGCATTACACACTGTGTAACCACTTAGTGAATGGCTTGAAAGACCGGTATTCCAAAGAGAGAGAGAGTTTAATGGAAAGTAGGGAGAAAAGGCAACTCCTTAATCTTCAAAGCAGCCCTAAATTAAATAAACTAGAAGGATGTGGAATTCCCTTTATCTTTAAGGGAAAAAAGTGGGGTCTCCAGGACATTCGGTACCCACCTGTTCAGCTGTGGTGGCCGGGCATCACACAGCAGGGTGGGCTGTGTCAATTCAACTACAACGGCTTCATTGCAGCGGCTGTGAGGGAATTGTAATTTATTATAATTTTTTTATTATATTTTATTATTCAATTATTGTTATTTAAGGGTCATATTCTTGATTTTTCTGATACTTGATATTTCTTAAAGATTTAAAAAATGTGTTTTAGTATTCGTTTTATTATCAAATATTTAAAGATCGATAATCTGATTTGCTTTAACAACACATTTAAACACTAGTAAATGGACTCGATATATAATTTTGACGAACCTTTGAATTTCTTAAAGATTTAAAAAATGTGTTTGACGAACCTTTGCTATTAGTTCGCTGTTAGCCATCGACTGACAGCGGACTAACCCTTTCGGCGGAAGACGACATCTGCGAATGACTTCCGCGGAAGGATATGCACTATAAATACTCAGTGCGGCGCTGTTGTGTGTTTAGTATTGTTTTTATCTGCGGTGGAGGTGGACTGGCTGCAGCTGCTGCATCTACGTCTGTCCTTACGTGGTAGAACTGTTTTTATTTTTATTTTAAATTCCTACACTTTTTATTTTATGAAGCCAACGTCCTGTAGCGTAAAGCGAAGAAGAAAACGCAAGGACGACTGTAATGTCGGACGTTACAGAAGACAGAGCCAAGTGTTTTTAACGTCATTAGATTTAGGGAGACCTTTGTGGGTTTTTTTGTTTGTTTGTTTTTTAATTCGGAGGACAGCGACGTTTCATGTGGTTCTGGACTTGCTTTTAAAGAAGACAGACATTACGAGTAACGTTTTTACCAGCCATGTATTTACATCAGTGTAGCGTCCATTTTTAGCTCGATGCACAGAGACTGTTAGCAGTTTGAGTCAGTTTTACGTTGCATAATTCAGGGACACCAGGAGTATAAAGTGTCCGCTATCGCGACGTTTTCGACTTTTTCATTTTTCCCTTCAACATGTTCGCAGAGACGTACTGTGAGCTATGACACTGAGGTGTAGCCTCTTCTCGGTTATTATGTCACTGTCAGGCTTGTTCACCGTCTGCTGCTGCTTCACGGTCCTCACGGTCATGTCTTGCAGTCTCGCCATCATGTAGAACACTGTCACCCGTCCAGGCGGTTTGTAGACATTGCGTTTTAGTGGACCTTGCGCGTGAACATGCTGAGCTTGAGTTGATTTGTTTAACGTCTTGGGAGGAGCAAACTTCGAAGGGTTGTCCCAAACAGGCGGTAGCTAGCCATGTTTCAAGCTGTGTCATCTGTACGATCACAAACATCCCGACTCGACCAGTGGGAACGTGAACGCACCATGTCCTGACTGCATCTCTGATGAGAGCTCTCAGTGCAATAAGAAGAAGAAGCATCAATAGCAGCAGCAGCATCGTCAGGATTCACTGAGTGGATCATTATACACCGGAACTGTGTCCCGAAGAACCGAAAGAGACACAAGAGAGGCTTTTTTACCGGTTTCCAGCCGTCAGCTGGGCCAACATCCCATCACAATGGAGACGGTGGGGGATTTTGAGTACAGCAGGAAAGACCTGGTTGGCCATGGAGCTTTTGCTGTGGTGTTTAAAGGAAGACACAAGAAGGTAAATATGAATAGTATGACGAGTTCGATGCTTCCATGTTTTTCTATTTTCTGCCTCCTCCTACAGATGGGCCTTGGTTTTGAAAAATCTGGGTCAATCAGTGTCAGTGCATCTTGCAGTTGTGCAGCACCGTTGGTGGAATGTCACCTCCTTAAAGGGTGGAAATTTTAACAGTCCATTTTTATGACCAAGCATTTTAACATGCAGAGTGGTGTAGTGTGCAGGGTGGGTTTTTTTTTTAGAGTACATTTAGCTGCTGTGTTTGGTCTGGATCATTCATTAATGTGTGAGTCACTCAATGTCTTGCTTGACATACTGTAGGAGAATAGTATTTTTTTTTGTATCATTACCCTTTGTTCTCAGTCATTATAAATGCAGAAATGCTCTATATTGTTTTGTTTTTTTAGCAATTAAATTCATCGTATTTTTCACAGGACACAAGCATAACAGGTTTGTTTGTATTTGCGTATGTGGAACACAGATGTAGGAAGTGACATCATATCACCCCCCCACCCCCTTTGCTGCTGTTGTGAAACAGATTGTGCTGAAATTGGCAGTGAAAGCCAGTATAAGAGCCCACATTCTTTCAATAATTCAATGGAATAATTAAAGCTAGCAAAAACATATTTCAAAAATCACTGCCTCAGTTCTTGTACGTGTCCTATTGTAATATTTTTCTTTGTGATTATACTGTTGAATTGATTCCGGTCTTATTCTAACACCTAGTTATCCCCACTTGCCCCTGTGCCCTGCTTGTTTAGCTAATCTTCCACAGTCGCCTGATATGATTTTAAGGTCACAGCTAGATAGTCTTCACCGTCTCTAGAGCCAGTCCATTAAGGTCACAGCTAGATAGTCTTCACCCTCTCTAGAGCCAGTGATGCACCTTTCATATAAGATTCTATGCAATAGTAATAGGTATTTACTGGCGTTAAAGGGAGGCTCACAAATTTGTCTCCAAGTTTGTTGTAAGTCAAGTAAACTTGATCTGTGTGAAGCCCTTGACGTCGGCGTCAGGTCCATCACGTGACTGGAAAGTGTCATCAAATCCACCGAGTCACAAGGATGGATCCTGAATGAGACCACCGTGGCTTCAGATTCATTTATCCACTCGTGCATGCCAGTGTGCTGCCCCCTGCATATTTATTTCCCCCTTGGAGGACAGGAAGGTTAGAGTCACCTGACACTGATCGTACGATGGATACTTCGCTCTATAGGAATCGTTGGTTGTGACTTTGCACTGTAATGTCAAGTTTCTGTATACAGCCTCGTTGGATTGAAGCTTAACAAAGGGTCGATAAGGTGAGCGCTACTTAAAATATTATTAGTACTAAGTCACAAACCAGTTTAACTGTTGAACCGCTGCCAGATTTCCCACGCACACACACACCACAGTTAAACTGAGGACACTTTATCAACACATGGAAGTATCACAGTTCACAGCATCAACATTATCTTCGTGTTGTTCCAGTTTTGTAAATGTAAAGCTGTGTTCCCAGGGTGTTATTTTTTCACCAGTCTGATATAAGTCTGACGTTGTTTACAAGTAGTTTTGTTCAAGTTTAGTTTACGTCCCACTGTTTACACATTGACTGGGACAAACTATGTTAATGAGACGTTCCTTCAGCTGCGTGGTCTGGACCACTGCCTGTCCGTGCGTCTCCTACTCTGGATACACCCGCTTGTCACAAAGTCAGACGTTTGAACCTGACACTTCCTGTTTTGTTTTTTTTTTACGCTTAAACACACAGAATTAGATGAAGTTCTGAAACCAGGCAAACGGCTGCAGGGGAGACATCGGCTTCCTGTTTACTGCAAATGCAAGCTACACATGATGTCAAATATGTGGAAATAAAAGAATAACACATTTACTCCATTAACCCCCCTCCCAACCCCAACAGAAAGGTCTCTCTGTTTTTTCTCTGACGTAGTGTTAGCAGCTAAGTCACTGTTGGCTGATCAGGTAATCACCGCACAGAGGATGGAAGAACCAGACTCAAGCCAAGGAGAACATATTAACCTAGATACACTTTAAAAGAGCGGCTCTCTACTGTGGTGCAGATTTATCCGGCCCATATTTCTCTGCTCATGTGCCCAGGCGTTCTTTTTTGCACACGATCATCTTAAGTCATCAACTCTGGAAATAGCAGACGAAACCCAAAATAACTTCTGCTGCAGGTGGGCTGACTGAGCGATACCGCCTAACTTTTGTACAAACATTCACTCAGTGTTTATGTCGTGCTCCAAAATGATTATTTTCTGAACTCACTATGATCTCCCCACGCCCGTTCTACTTCGCTAACATCGCTTCTGTTATCGGTTTTCTTAATGGACCAGACCAGAATGCGATACTGCCAAAGATAAAAAGAAAAGGTGGCGTGAAGACAACAAAAGATAAATTCGATTGAGAAATTTCTAGAATAATGCCTAATGGTTTCCCAAGATTTGCCATACAATGACAACAGTGTGCACGGTTATATATTAACAGTTCGATACATTGTTGGTATGGGGGGTGTATTGGCAAGAACCTGGCTCTACGATACGATAGACGTGACGTTTCTTTAAACGCCATGCTGTTACAGTGATCTTGGAATGTGTCTGCATTAACAGTTAGCTTCTGTCAAAACTGTAGCATGTTTTGACTCTTCTTCTCTCATTCTTCTTCTTCCCCTTTTTGCCCTCCGTCCTGCAGAAGACTGATTGGGAGGTGGCCATAAAGTGCATCAATAAGAAGAACTTGTCCAAATCCCAGATACTCCTTGGCAAGGAAATCAAAATCCTGAAGGTGAGCGTGATACCTGATAGCGTCTCAGTTATCTGCTTCAAGTGCTGCAAGAATAATTTGACATTGACCTTGTGTCTGTGTGTGTGTGTGCACCCTTGAAAAAGAGAGGCTTCAACTTCCCTGACAGATTTATCAATGCAAGTGCGAGTGTTAGCTGCAGTAGCCTCCCTAACGCCCATGTTTGTTTGTTTTTTCTCTTCAGGAGCTACAGCATGAAAACATTGTGGCGCTGTACGATGTACAGGTAGGTTTGTTTTATTGATGTCTCTATAATAAAAGTCTAAAAGTTTTATTGATGTCTCTATAATAAAAGTCAACAAGACTTTAGCCTTTTAGCTACGTCCCAGACATCTTTGCAGTGTGTCGCAGGTTTTATTTTGGAAATTGAACAGAAAATAATGACCAAACCCCAGATTTAAGCTTCTAATTTATTAGCTGACCGTGCGTCGGGTTGTGACCTCTCTTAAGTCACACAGCAGAAAGTGGTTTGCTGATGTCGACGTGCAATCAACACTCAAATTTAGAGTCCTTCTCGGGGCATGGTACATAATCACTGCTTTCGTTTGGTCTCATGATTAATGAGTCACCCTGCTTTATAAACACCGTGCCGCCACTCTGCTGACATGTGACACAGCTTCTCAAAACAGACGAGCGGGCACCTGTCCAAAAGTCCGTCCAGGACTCTGTAGAGAGTAAGGGTCTGGAAACTACACCAGTCTCAGTGTCTTAGTGCCAAACTGTGAAGCCTGTGAACAGTCGCACCAATCGCTGTTCATCTCACAGACGTTTACTGGACGTTGACCTGGTTTTATTGTCCATGACAAACCAGAATTTGACCGCGAAAACCAAATAAATTGAACATATAAACAGGGTATAAATTCAGAGTTGTTGTCCTTTTTTTTAAAAATCAATTTTTGTTAAAAAAAACACATATTATTCCTAGTCTAAATGGTTTAACGTTAGGATTGGAAAAACATTAACAAAAAAAAAAAAGAAATCAATACTGAACCTTTCCATCCTGACTGGTGAAACGACATGAAGCAACACGGTCCTGGCAAACACTGACATAATTAGTTTTTTTTTTGTTGTTGTTGTTTAATTGAATGTGTGTGTTCTCTGTCCATTACAGTGCGTTTCAGTTGTGTGGTTTGGTCCGTTGAGTCCATCATTGTTTCCCTGTGGTGCTGTACAAAGTGCAGTGTAGTTAAGCTGGGCCACAAAGTCGTCTTGTCTCATTTCTTACCATCTCGCTTCCTCCCACTCCCATGAAGTATCGATGTGTCAATCGCTGCTGTTATACTGTGTGTCTTTGTTTTGTTTTTTTTTGCCAACCAGAACCAGCGCTGACTCTGACTTCTTTTATTTATAGCTATTAGCCTTGTCGGCTTTTATTTTCTGACTATTTACTGGCCGCATCAGATTACATGACTTTATATATCCACCAGATCAGGAAGTGGAACTCGAGCCGGTTTGGACTTTTGTTCACTTTTTAGCCTCCAACATTCCATTATAGATTATAGTAAAAATGAAGACCAAGTGTAGTTAAGACAGAAAAGTGTTTACATATTTTCATGTCGAAATGTTCAAGCGAAGCAGCAACGATTTTGACCCTGTTTTGCTTTAACTTATCACATTGAACCTTTGACTTTTTTTCTTTTTTTTTGCTAACAATGTTATCCATTGAATGACGTCACATTTTAGCCGCCGTTGTACATGCTGTAGCTAGTCAACATGACGGCTGACGTACTGTACAGGTGGTGGCTGTTGGGAGAGAACGTACTGACCCTGTGTATCTGAGTGCTTATAAAGAGGGACCACGGAGATACTGTAGGTTCTTGACCTTTTTGATAAGTCACGTCGAGACTCGCCGAACAACCGCTGAGTGAAAGTGCTTGAGTTTTTTCTTTGTGCGTCTGACGTGATGTGTAGAACACCAGCGGAACAACGAACCACAGTTTATATTTGAGGAATCCCGACGTCTGCACATGTTCAGTCTGTCACTGTCTTTGACCTCGATTTTGGTGAGAAATCACATTATATCTTCACAATCGATCGGGTTTTTATAGTCGGTTTTTTTGGTTGAATATTAAATCAGTCAGGTTTTAGGTTAATGTTTGTTAGACAATGAGCTATTACAGTTTGAAAATGTTTTATGGTGTTTACTAGTGTTTAAATTGATACGATCCAAAGGCAGATTTTTTATTTTAATTTTTTTTTAAATGACTCTTTTATTTTGAACTGTGAGTTGTTCATTCACTCGTTACAAACACAGTAAACTGACCGTTCTGATAACCTGGGAACAAAACAACTGAGACTGGCAGCTTTTTAAAGACACAGTGTACCATTATCTACACTGTAGTACACAACACACACACACACACCAATATGAGCTGAGAGGGCGAATTATGTCCATACAGTTATAATTTAACGCAGCATGACCCTGTTGACAAACACCCAAGAAATAATGAGGTGTTAGTCTTCACAGCCATGACTGTCTGGCAGGGACGCGAACACCTAACCTCGCTTCACAAGGACGTGACAGGACTGAAACAGACGGATTCCATTCAATATATTTGTCCGTGTTGGGATATAAAGTTCAGGTGCAGATATAATGTTAGGGCTAAAACCACGCAGTAATGCCTGCGGGTGATTAACGACTGTTGTGTTCATCACACTGCAGTAGTGTGAAGTAGGTGAAACTAATTACAGTACAAAGTATACTGTACCAGGGCTTAATGACTTTAATGACTTTCACTGAACTTCACATGAGCTTCACAGTTTGTCCTCTTGTGATTCTAGAAAGTTCCATCTAAACTCACTGAGTCATTTATTTATTTTAGTTTGTGGATTGTTTTGAAACCTGACTCCATAAGTAATCCATAAACTCACTGAGATTCTCTGACACTGACAAACAAACCCAGGATCATAAAGAAGTGGGTGGAGAAATGTGGCCAAACAGGAAGAGGAAGGTGGAGAGTGTTTACAGAATGTTTGAGTGAAACTTCCCTTTAGGAACATTGTGTTCTCTGTCCAGAGAGCCCCCCCTCCCCCATTAGAGTGCGTCCTAATTACGCAAGGTATTAAAGAGGCAGGACCGACGTGGTGATGTGGTGAGTGAAATAAGAAGAGAAGTGTCTGCACATGTTGTGGAACGCACTCCGGGGGCTTTCTTAGAAAACTGCCTTTGTGAACCTCCCTGGCCTCAGTCCACATTCCTTTGCAAAACTTTGCTTTCCAGGTATTTTAGGGGTTGAGAAAGAACCAGGCAAACAGTCACTTCACTCAGTGAATGCGTCTTTGAGATGATACGATACCGCAACCACTCGTCAAGCGTGACACCAGCATGACTTGACTTCCAGGTTGGTCAAGTTATGAGACCCACCGTCACCCAGTCGTGACCAGCTATGACCCAAATACAAACGTCCAATCAGAACCTATTCCCCTCAGTTTAACAACTGTTATGTAACTGGATATGTTTTTTTATGGCCACGGACTCGTAGAGAATCTTGACTTGAACTTCATGTCATTTTACTGGCCTTTATTAAACAGTGCATCATAATTGTGTTACGAATGTGTCCATATCAAGTGAGATGAAATTCCTTGTTACTTAATTTTCCATCGCACTGGGGGGAAAAAAAACGTGCAGTCTTGACATTTTGTCCTCAGCACAAGATTGATTTTCCCACAGCTGTCAATGATGCAACTATTTGTCACCGTGTATTTGTGTTTCTGTGGCGCGGTATAAAAAATGTGCAGCGGTTTTATAACTCTGAAGTAAACAAAAACATGGAACACACACACCTCTTCAGAGTCCTGCTTTAAATGTTACATCATTTGAGTTTGACGCAACACGTTACTACTGAACTACGTGGAGTCTTGTTTTTCTTTACCTTTTCCTTTTATTGCTCTGTGGAAACCTTGAGAGTTTGTTGTTGTTTTCATGAATCTGTAACCTTTACAGTTGTCCTCACGTGTCTAATTAGGGTTTATAACTTAGTATCGTCCTCACGTGTCTAATTAGGGTTTATATCTTGGCATAAAGACTTGGCTGTTTAAGTCTTGACTTATTTGTTATTATTGATGTTTGAGAACAGCTTGTGCTGGAAGCGGATGTTTCGAAGCCCGGCCCTCATCAGGAAGTGAGCCGATAATATCTGTCCCTAGTCATTTTTATTTTTAATAGCCGTGGAACTCCATTGATCCTGTCGCTGGTCTGCTGCGCTTCATTCATTATCCACACAAGCAAAAAAAACTGCCTGGTGTGTGTAACTCAACACCTGCTTTTTAAAATTCATCTCACACTTTATTACAATTAGAGAAGAGAGAAAGAAGGGAAACAAACGGAAGAAAAATGAAGAAGTGAGATGTAAGACCAAGAGCAAATTAAAAACAGAATTCCAACTCTTCTCAGAATCACTCTCAGATCTAATGTTTTTGAATTGACCACAGAAAGGCATTTACAAACGGGTTCATGTCGGCGCCTGAGTCAGAGGTCTTCACTGGCCTCTTGGTGACTCTGCCTTCAACACTCTGCTCCCATCCCCCAGAATTCCCAGATTGTGGACTACGGCCTCATTATGTAATCCTTCGCATACACACATACACTGAGCGCAGATACTCGTGACCCATCCCCCACCACCACCACCAGCTCACAGTTGGGAGAGCTGGGGGGGGGGGGGGGGGGGGCAGTGTGTTTTCAAATGAATACAATACATTTTAGTGTGAATGTTTCTCCAGCCTGGTTGGGACCGACGCTGTTGCCTCAGTAAACGGTGCCGACAGCAGGACGTGACATGGACGGTGTTTTAGGGAAATCACACTCTCTATGTGTATCATTCTCACAGTCCTGCTGCTGTAGGTGAAGATCTCGGTGGTTCAGTGTAAAGCAGCTGCACTTGAGATATTTGTGCTCCAGATCCTGTGGCTAATGTGTTTCTAAGATTATGTTATGGGAAAAGAATGTGTTACGAAAAGAATGTGGCTCCCAATTAAGTAAACACGCACGTTACCACAGATTACGTATACAGTGTGTTCCGTAGTGTAGCGGTTAGCTACAGGTATATGTACCTCGGAAGTTTCGCCTATGTCACTGTGGATAAAAGCGTTTTTTCTTTTCCTTACACTTGAATTGAATCGTTTTGGGACTTATTAGATAAGAGACCTTCTTTGGGTTTTGCAATGTAGGCAGTTTATTTGGACAAAACAATATCTAGAAACAAGGAAAATTGTGTGCATGTTATGGTTACACACACATACACACACGTGTCATGTGACCTTGATCCCACATTTGATTCTTTTTCAATGTTGTGTCAACCTGAAGCTGCGGGACACGCACAGCGTCAACGCTAATGGACCGTGTAGTCACAGATCTTTGAGTGGCACAGGGTGGGCTACATACATGTTGGTCCCAGTAAATATTTTTGGACACGGGTGATGATGATGATGATGATGATGATGATGATGTCACATGTCACCTGGTATCACCACTGTGACTGGACAGTTATATCTGTTTTGACCAACAGATTCTCTCTAAGCCTGGGACGAACCTGTACAACAACACGATGATTATGTAAAATGTTGTTGTTGGATTTAAATAGTTTTGTTGTGTAATTTTTTTTATATACACATGTACAGGGATCGTTCATAAACTAAAACACAGTTTTTTTTTATATACACATGTACAGGGACTGTTCATAAACTAAAACACAGCTATGATGAAAATCATTTCAGGCAGTGTGTTTAAGAAGAAAAGTTGAAGAAAACACACTCTGTTGTTGTGATGATTGTCACATGTAGCACCGTGTGTTTTTTTTTTTTTTTTTTTTTTTTTTTTTTTTTTTTTTTTTCTCCCGGCCTGTCGGGGGTTTCTCATGTTTGCATGGTAGAGCTGACAGCTGCTCCAGGATAAATAGCTTCTCTAACAGATTCTGTGTCTCTTCTCTTCCAGGAAACCCCCAACTCTGTTTTTCTGGTCATGGAGGTACGTAGAGAAACGTGAACTTGAATCTTCACACGTTGTGATTTGTTTGTGAAAGAACTCTTTTAGTTTAATTGAATGGAAATGATGATATTGATTATATAAGTTATCCATGTGCCCCAAATCAATCATCAAACATCTTACACAACTGACACTTTCACCAAACAAAAGTTGTTTTTCCTTCAGACTCACTGCTTCCCTCCTCCTGCTCCTCCTCTTCCTCTTTCTCTCCGTCTCCTTCTTATTTCTCCTGGCTTCTCTTCTCTTGTTTTCACGTTGCGTGTCCAAAGTGTCCTCTGTTATCTTACTGAAAACCTGACTCCTGGCTTCAGCCCCAGCTCTGCGAGAACTCTCAGCTGGCTGCAGGGTTGAAAACAAACTATTGCTCAACCTCAAGTTACTCACTAAAAATACACCCGACTGTTTTCTAGGAACTGTGTACAGTGAAAGTCTTTTTCAATTGGAAAAATACTCAGTTGAGATCACAACGACTGAAATGTTCCTAGAAGAAATCACATATCTTTACTGGTACAGCATACAATCACTGGGCTAAAAAAAAAAAACCCCAGTGTGCTTACACGCCAACCGTTGCACTTTTCCTCAACTCACCACACAGACCTCATCCATCTGTTGTTGGTAACCCTGAAGTGAAGTAACTGAGTCTGTGGGCAACTCACACACTGTCACTCAGCAGCTTCGCTGATGTCACTGCTGCTCTAGGATTTCAGTAAACACGGGAACATTTCCAGAAATCTACATACGTGTGCTTCTAAATAAACACTGTTGAAGCTGAAATGTCTCTGTTCTCACCGTGACCTTTTCCGTCTCAACCCACACAGTACTGTAACGGAGGCGATCTGGCCGACTATTTGCAAGGTAAGCTTTCACGTGTCTGTCTGTTCGCCGTCGTTCATCACACACGCTGACACACCGTCATTACAGCACGTGAACACTCGTGTGTGTGTAGACTTTTGTGTGTGTGTAGACTTTTCGGAGAAGGTCATCGAATGTTGGCCTCCGTGTGTGTGTCGAGTTCTGCATCTGTGGGTGGGAGTGTGGAAAGCACTCCAGTGATGTACAGCACAAAGAGTCGTTTATTTTCTTCGGCGCGCTGCTTGTCTCTCGTATGATACTTTGAACCAATGTTTAATATTCAACAATTTAAAAATAAAAATAAATGTGTACTTTATTGAACCCATATTGGGGAAACTGTTGTGTTAGCAGCGGATATGCCGTTAACAGGCTGCCCGCTAGCAAGTGCCAAACATGTGGTCGAACCCAGGACTCTCTGTCGTGCTAACCGCTACACTATGGAACCGACCGTAAATGTGGTCTAATGCTGAAATGATGCATAAAATGTAAAATAAAAACAACATTACAACATTGAACTTTACATTTGTAATTCAGTCAATAATGTTCTGTGTGTTGTATTATTATATTTAGTAAGTTAAAAAAAAACTGTTGTACTTGTATTCAAAGTACATCAGTTGTTTTTTTTGTTTTGTTTAACAAAAAAACATTTTTTAGGTATTTAAAAAAAAAATTTAAAAAAATTTAGGTATAAAAAATTTTTTTTCCCCTTTTTTTTTCAACTAAATTTTTGTTTTTAGTTGAACTGAGAAAGTTTATATGTAAACAGTAAACATTTCAAAAAAGTAAAAAAAAAAAAAGTTTCTCCCATTAGACAGTTTGACCAGGACTGTTAGATAACCACAGGTTAGAGTGGACTGCTTTGTGCTGCTTTCTTATCACAATATGTTTACAAGATGTAGGTGACTCATATGTCCACATTTGTAGAGTGGGTGACAGTGGGTCACTGCCAGAGCCTGTAGAAAAGTGTCATCCAGTCCAAACCAAACTAAACAACAACGTATAATAAACAGTGACATTTGTAGAGTGGGTGACAGTGGGTCACTGCCAGAGCCTGTAGAAAAGTGTCATCCAGTCCAAACCAAACTAAACAACAAGGTATAATAAACAGCACTGGCATCTATACGATATGTTGATACCGTATCGATACAGTATCGTGAAACAAAATACCGTGATATATCGGTGTGTTGATTTTTTTTTCCCACCCTTTAATGTATAGATGTGGACTACTTTAGATCTCAGGTTTTTATCAGGACGTTAGTGTCACACACTCAAGTGTGTGTTTGTCAAGACTTTGAACTCTGCTGTGCTACCGGTCATATGAGTTTGTATAATCTGGTTACATAAGATTTCCCCCTGTCAGGAGTTGCACTACACTCCTGACAGGGAGGCGGAGGGGCGGGGGTATTTTAATACTACGAAACGACCTCCATCTAGCTGTGAAGGATGTCCACAGACATTCCTTTTAGTAATTTGAATCTGTATCTTGTCTTTTTTTTGTTTCTCCAGCCAAGGGAACCCTGAGAGAAGAGACACTGAGGGTGTTCCTGCAGCAGATCGCTGCTGCCATGCGCATCCTCAACAACAAAGGAATCATCCACCGTGACCTGAAGCCGCAGAATATCCTGCTGTCGTACGCAGGGCGCAAAAAGTCCAACATCAGTGGCATCAGAGTCAAAATAGGTGAGAGACGGAAAATGAAACAAAACAAAACACAGAAGATGACTCAGTTATTTGACAGTTTTAGAGATTTTAGAGCTGTGAATGGTCACGTCGTTGTACACGTTTTCAACACCGTATTTGTCACATATTAATATTTATTCAACTATGTACATTACTTAAAAAAAATTGCCAAACATGTTTGTGGGCCTCATTCTTGATGTTCACATGTTTTTTTTTTCAGAATATTTCTTCCATGTTTAGCTGCTGTCATGAAGTCAATTTGTGGTTTAAAAAAAACAACAACTAAACACTGGTTTATTTTTATCATCCTCATGCAGCTGACTTTGGCTTTGCCCGGTACCTCCAGAGCAACATGATGGCTGCTACTCTGTGTGGGTCACCAATGTATATGGTAGGTTTATCTGTCCTGTATGCATATGGGCCTGTTAGTAGACAGCCATATTCTGATTACTGTTGAGCCTAATCTGTGACGTCTGTGACCCCCAGGCGCCCGAGGTTATCATGTCACAGAACTATGACGCCAAAGCCGACCTCTGGAGCATAGGCACGGTCATCTACCAGTGTTTGGTTGGCAAACCGCCGTTCCAGGTAATTACAGGTTTTAAAAAAATACTTGTGACACATGTCTGTAAAAACCCTGTCATCTCTGAGGTTTTTTTAATTTTTAAATTAAACTTTTTCAGGCCAACAGTCCCCAAGACCTGAGGATGTTTTATGAGAAGAACAAGAACCTACAGCCTATGTAAGTTTTGTCAAGATGAAAATTTACTTTTTTTTTTAAACACATACATCAAACAACTCACTTCCTGTGAATTTTAAAACATTACAGTCTAAAGTTATTGTTAGAGCCAAAGTCGGCACGCACAGTAACATGATACAAGACCCTAAAAATACTGAGCCATGTCGCGGTCTTGGGTGAGGTGTTAAAAGTAACTCATCGAGCAGTTTGTCAGGGCTAGCAGCCAGCGTTAGCTTCTTTTCTTTAAGTCATTCACGATGTAGATTGTTGTCAGGTATTTGTGTCAACGTGACGTTGATAGATTTTATTTCATCAGTTGATCATAATCAAAACTTCTAAGAAAAGAAGCCGACTCATCCGACTCACCAAAACATCCGTTGGTTCATGTTAAAAGTAACTCATCGAGCAGTTTGTCAGGGCTAGCAGCCAGCGTTATGTTTCTTTTCTTTAAGTCATTCACGATGTAGATTGTTGACAGGTATTTGTGTCAACGTGACGTTGATAGATTTTATTTCATCAGTTGATCATAATCAAAACTTCTAAGAAAAGAAGCCGACTCATCCGACTCACCAAAACATGAGTGACACATTTAAGTCATTTAAGCTGGAAGAATGCAGCCAGTGATTCATTTAAAACACAGCAGTCTGATCAGTCATCGCTGAAGTCAAATCACTCACCCCACAGTCTGCAGGTTTCCTTGTAGAAAGGCATCAACTCGTTTTTATGCTCTAATTTCCCAGCATCCCGAGAGAGACTTCTGTGCAGCTTGACAACCTTCTCCTTGGGCTTTTGCAGAGGAATCAGAAGGATAGAATGGACTTTGGTGAGTGGTTGACGTCACTGTGTTATTTTTTTACGCCCAAATTATTGTCTAGTTAATAGTTAAATGTTTGGTGTCAAAATATCGCTGTCCTGATCCCGTCTCTCTCTTCAGACACGTTTTTCAGCCACCCTTTCCTGGAGCCAACGTCCACCATTAAAAAATGTGTGTAGGCAACTTTTTTTGAGGCGGGGGTGGAGGGGGGGGGGCAGCAAAGTGAGAACCGGATACTACTAAATACTGTGTGTTTTTTGATCGCAGCGTGTCCAGTGCCAGTGCCCAGTGCCTCCAACACAGCGACAGATTGTTCCTGTGGTAGCTCGCCCTGCATCCGCTACAACTCTAACCCTGTGAGTGTGACACTTTATGATGACAAACTCTGGGCGTTCAGTCACCCTGACACGTGAACAGTGAGGTGTACAGCTGAAGGTGTTTTCTCAGTCGTCACTCCTGTGTCTGCTGCATGTGTAAGAGGAAGTGCGTTTGCGAACATTCAACATTTTGCACAGTACCACATCAAACGCTGAACGTAAGGCCTCGCATCTCTCTCGGCACGTCAGTGTTCTCTGATGTCACTGCACTGTTTTGCCTGGAGGTCATGTAAGTTTAGAAGTGGAGAAAAAAAAAAAGAAAGCTCCAACACGGCTCTTTCTTTTGTTGTCCTTTAAAAACCACAGTCCCTCCCAGACATGCAGACCTTGGCAGAAGACGGTCTTTCGTCCCCGCCACTCAGTCATCCCAACTTTCTGCAGCTGTCCAAGGAGTCCGGAGGAAGCACCAGCAGCAAGAACTCTTCATCTGACCTCGATGACTTCGTTTTGGTGCCGAACATCTCCACCGACAGCTGTGAGTTTGATCTGCCGGGCCGGACACAGACACTCTTATTTTTCTTTTTCTCTTTTTATTCAGATAGATCTTTTTCTTACTTTAGCTACTTTATCGGATCCATAGTGTAGCGATTACACGGAAGCAGAAAGCAAAGGGTCCTGGGTTCGATTCCCAGAAGAACCACATGCTTGTGTGCGAGTCAGTATGAGGGGCCAGTTATTTACAGTAAATCTACAAACATCACAGCATCTACATGGGGTTGGAACAGTTCGTACACATCCGTCACGCGCTCGCTGATGTGAACTGGAAAAACAAAGTAGTATTGAGATTTTTTGGACCACTCCCACTAAACACATGTCATGGATAGGGGTGTAGTGTACAGCACAGCACATGAATAGAACATCTGTTTTGTTCAACACGCCTCACGCTGAACACAGAACCGCAGACACACAGTACAGGTCTGTTCACATGCTCCCAGGGCTCCCACTGCAGCACATGTCACTGAATCCACAGATTGTAAACTAGAGCAGCTGCTAAGCATTTCATGTTGTAATTGTAGCCCGTCGTCCACACGCAGACTGACCCTCCTGACTGGTAAAACGAATCCTCGTGCTCTGCACCTGCTGCTAACTAATGCACGCGAGGCACACATCCCCAAAATAGACAATAAACAAAGCGGGTCGTCGCGTCTTTACGAGTGGCATTTACTCAGGTGACTTTACGAGTGGCATTTAATTTACTTTTTAATTTATTTCTTCTGTTGACGGACACATCTATTACCCCTCCATCATTCTTTACCTCCTTCTCACCCGCAGATGACCAACCAATAGGAGTTAGCCGTCGTCCGTCCAGTGAGTTTCTCATGTGCGGAGGGTGAGTACGACGCTGTTATCAGATCTTTGGAATTAAGTTTTCATGTAATCAAGCCCTTTAACCCACATGAAACCTGAGGTGATTTTGACAGATTAGTGACGACGACAACAACAACAGCAGCAGCAGGTCAATTTACAGAACCTTATTTTTTTTTTGTATATCTCGACCACCTGTGGGGATAATAGTCCTCCAACGCTGCCTTTGTGGGGCGGGGGTTTGAGGACTGAAAGCTCGGTTGCTACGTAGCATTGAGGGATTATAAAATTAGCAGTGAGTACTTTACATAAGGAATGAAAAGGGAGTGTTATTAAGGAATTAATGTCAAATAGATTCATTCATGAATTATCCCTTCAGCTACTGATCGTATACCACGGGACTCGTGTAATACTTTATTAAACCACAGGGGTGCTTTAAAAAAAAACCAACTCATATGTGGAATTGTTTACCCGTTAGTAAAAAAAAAACAGGTCATTCTACGCTTAGCTGAGTCTTAAAGGAATCTTTATTTTGGTTGTCAAAGTAGTGGTTCGTGTCCCTATTTGAGGGACAAGTTGCGTCTTTTCAAGACCAATTGTTTGCAAGTGTTTTGACATGTGTCGGTGTGACTTTGTATCACCTACTACAGTCACGGGTTTCTGTGTCACCTCCATTGTTTGTTCACTTTACTATTTTTGGCCATCTGACCTCCAGGAACACAACCACACCTCTGAACACACACACACACACACACACACTGTGTCTGTGTGGTCTTTCAGTCACACAACTGGGTGGTGCTGTGGGTAAACGCAGCACCTGACCCCAGGCTGCGGCGTTAACAATAGCCTCACACATCATCTGATTATAACTGTTATTCAGCATCAAAGCAGCGCCTCGTGTGTGTGTGTGTGTGTCGGTGTGTTGTCCACAGGACCAGCGTCAACCACAGTCAACAGTTACTTCCTGCATTGACTCCACACTGGGTGTCATTGATCTGTGTTAAAGGTCGTCACACAACACCCTTCAACCTGAGACGTAAAAAAAAAAAAAAAAAAAAAAAACCTCCCGTCTCGTTGGATTCCTTCTTACAGGTGTAAATGGCCTCGGGTCAAACAGACCTTTTGTGGTTTTTTTTTTCTTCCCACTGTTGAATCTCTTCCTCCCGCCCAGGTGCTCACACACACACACACACACACAGACACACACCTGCTCGGTTCGTTACAAAAACCAGTTACTGCTGTTGTTCAACCACAGGGTTTTTTTTTTTTTTCACAGGCCAGTGTTATTGAGCAGGTCTCAAACTGTAGCCCGGTTTAACCTCTTATGTCTCTTATTGGTTGATCTAAAATTTAAAAAAAATGGGGCTCTGTTTGGAAACAGTTATTGGAACAAACAAGGATAGTAAAGAGGATAAAGTGACGGAGAGACGTTCTCTTCCTGCAGAGATGAGAGGAAGGAGCCGAATCATGAAACACATTTTTACCATTCCCCGTTTTACGACTGGCTGGTGAAAACCAGGACACGTCTAATTTCAGTCCCTCTCCTTTTGTCCAACACGTGGTCTCTGACCTACAAATTCTCCCTCTCTCCTCCAGTGACTGAAGTGTTCCACTCCATGTTTAGCTTTGATTTGATCCAATAAATCTTTTTTTTTTTTAACAACTCTGGCTGCATCATCATACAGTGTATATATATATAAATATATATATACTGACCATCACATGGTCAGGATGATGGAACATCTCAGACCTGTTCCACAAAACCTCTGTTCTGTGGTTCTTTGTCTGGACTTGTCTTTACTTCACGTGTCCTCATCCTCTCCTCCTCCTCCTTTTTTTTTTTTTTTCTTTTCCCCAGCAGACCCTCCCAGTCTTAACATCATTACATAACACTGGTTTCCAGCTGCTGTTGAGCTCTAACGGCCTTTTCCCCTGCTCCTCCTCCTTCTTGTCTTTCTCCTCCACGGAGGCCTCTTTGTTGTGACTCAACCACGACTGTTTTTCAAGAACATTTTGTCTTCTATGGAGTAACAAAGAAATGCAAATGAAGCAGCACCGTTTTCACTTCCCCTCTTGTGTGTTTTTTTTGTACACACAGCACATGTGCTGCCCTCTTGGCTCCGCCTCTCGTTCCGCCCCAGTCGGTTGAGCTCAACTCTGATTGGTTGTGACTTCTTGTGTTTACATAGAAGCCCAGCCCTCTTTTTTTTTTTCCCCCCAACTGCCTTCCCTCGTAATCTGCCATGCTAAACTTAGTTCCATGTCCTGCCTACAGACTGAGGCATACAAAGACCTCAGGTTTCCTACATGAAGAGTTTTTTTGTTTTGTTTTTAAAAAAAAGGGCTTTTGAAATCTTATCAGCTTGAAGTCACTCGCAGCCTTTGTGCTGAACTTCTCCTCTGCTTCGCTCCAGGCAGCCGCAGCCCACACCGGGACAGACCCCCATGGTGTCCCCAAGGACAGAGACCACCCCCATCCCTGTACCCACCCAGGTTCGGAACTACCAGCGCATGAAGCAGAACCTCTCCAGCAGTCCAACCACCATGCTGTATGGCTCGCCCAGGTAAGAGGCAACTTATTTAACCCTGTGACTCATATTTTAATGGAGATATAACTCGGCTGTTGTTTCGTCAGCCGTTAACTTAGCTGGAATTACATCAGTCAGAATTCATGTGCTTGACTGTCTGTGTTTGCTGTGTGTGTGTGTGTGTGAAATGGCAGCAGTTTTACATGAAAATATAGCAGCTGGAAGAAAATGTTTCCCAGGCTAATTAGTTTTTATTGTTTCTATTCTATTCAGAGTCTGGGAAAACGAGAAAAAAAAAATCTGTTGTGGACTTTACTCAGCTGAGTTGTTGTGTTAATTATTCCTAAATTCTTGCTACCTTGTTTTTGTCGTTGACTTCTGTTTAGCCCTTTTGTTGCCTTGGTGTTTGTTTATCACTTGAACTCTCTTTAATCCTTTCTCTGTAAAGAGGAGGAGAACGTTATTGTTCCTGGAACAGAGTGTGTGCATGTGTGGTCTCTTTTACCGGCTGCTGGTTCTGTGTCCGTCTGTATAAATGTTGGACTAAAGTCTCAGTCTCTCCAGGTTTTCAGGAAAACGAGACGTCTGTCTTTTTTTTTCATTTTTTTTTCTATGTTAAATGTTTTGTTTTCCGTATTGCTTGCACAATAAGCTGTAATAAGATTCCGACATGAGGCTCTGAGCACAAGTGGCGCAGGACAAGTGTTGTCACTGTTGACCTATTTATATTAGTCATGGTGTTATTTTACTCCCGGTGCTTCAGATGCTGCAGTTATCAGGGATCACCTAAGGTTTCCACTTAGCGCTGCCAACACCAAACATGTTTATGCAGCGTGGCGTCTCCGCCGCTCTCATTCATCTCTCGAGTCGTTTACTGTGGAAAACATTTGGACGACGAGAGCCAAATATGTGAGAATTTGACTAAAACACAGTGGGTGATCGTCTGAGTCACACATGGGCAAGAAGACTTATTTAAAACTATTGTTTCTCTCATAAAATCAGCAACTTTTTCTAAAAGATTTTTTTTTTTTTTAATTTTCTTTTCTTCACTAAACCTGAAACATCTCCCTCAAAGCAGACAAATACATGTTTGTACTCGTTTTCAGTGGTGCCAGATTTCGTTTGTGTTCTCTCTACCTCACACCTGTTCTGGAGTTTAAAACATGGAAGGAAAACAGATGTAAACATCATGGAAATTTAATCTGAAAAAAAAAAAAAATCTTCATCTAATGATGTTAAACCTGTTTTAATTAACGTAGGTCTGGCACCGTGAGGCGCTCCAACACTAGTCCAATGGGGTTCCCCAAGATGACCTCCGGATCCCCCATCTCTGCAGACGTCCCTCAGACAGTGAGTCGACGCCTCTCCATCGGCAGCTCGCGACCGTACTCCCCTTCACCTCTGGGTAAAGACATGTTTTCAACACATCTTGTCGTTCAGTTCAAACTTTTCTGGATAGTTTACTGTACTGTTTGTTTTTTGTTTTTTACAGTGGGCACCATCCCTGAGCAGCTGGGTCAGTGTTCCTGTCATCTACAAAGCCACGAGCCATTTTCTTTTCTTCACTAAACCTGAAACATCTCCCTCAAAGCAGACAAATACATGTTTGTACTCGTTTTCAATGGTGCCAGATTTTGTTTGTGTTCTCTCTACCTCACACCTGTTCTGGAGTTTAAAACATGGAAGGAAAACAGATGTAAACATCATGGAAATTTAATCTGAAAAAAAAAAAAAATCTTCATCTAATGATGTTAAACCTGTTTTAATTAACGTAGGTCTGGCACCGTGAGGCGCTCCAACACTAGTCCAATGGGGTTCCCCAAGATGACCTCCGGATCCCCCATCTCTGCAGACGTCCCTCAGACAGTGAGTCGACGCCTCTCCATCGGCAGCTCGCGACCGTACTCCCCTTCACCTCTGGGTAAAGACATGTTTTCAACACATCTTGTCGTTCAGTTCAAACTTTTCTGGATGGTTTACTGTACTGTTTTTTTTTGTTTTTTTTACAGTGGGCACCATCCCTGAGCAGCTGGGTCAGTGTTCCTGTCATCTACAAAGCCACGAGCCTCGCAGCCGGAGCTCCTCAGGTCTGTTCGTCTTCTCCTCCATTGAATTGAACGCTTTCCTGCTTTTTAACGGGGATTTGAAAAAAAAAAAAAAGGAACAGTACAACAAATGTACTGTACAAATGATTTTTTTTTTGGCCGCCAAAAAAAATCATTTGTTGTTTTGATTCTCTCCTGCGTCATGACTCACTTGACAGTGAAGTGTGTGAGTCAGTATGAGTCAAAGTCCTTTTTTTTTCTTAGAAAGGCTTTGATGCGGTTGTTACTTTCACACTGTTTTTAAACGCTCTCTGCACAGACTGTGTGTCACAAGGGCTGACTGTCACTGTCTGGATCATCAAGTCTGTCAAGGCTTGTTCTGAGCATCAGTCCTTGTTTACCTGAATTTAATTACATTTTAAAATTAAATTGGGCCAATGCATTTGTGGTAAAACCAAAAAAAAAATACATTGCAAATACATGGGAAACAGACACATTTGTAGAATAAAACATAATAATATAAGTCGGTCTTTGTGGCACTTTGTGTCAGTGTCTCCTAGCTGACACATTTCTGTGTGGGAAAAAAAAAGTTTCAGCTGAACTGACGTCTCACGTCTCCTCTCTGTGTTAACAACTGACTTATCGGTCATTTCTGTTCTCTCTCTCTCTCTCTCTCTAGGTTCCCCGTCCTCTCAGCTTCTGGGGACACGTCTCCAGAGCGCCCCTACCTTGACTGAAGTCTATCAGACCAGACAGAAGCTGCACAAGCAGTTGTCTGACCCAGTCCATCCTTCCGCCACCACCTCCTCCTCCTCCCTGTCCAATAACTCCCCTCAGCTCGGTCGACCAGCCAACCTGGGCTCCTCTCCTACAAAGTTGCTGGGCTCCTCCCCGCGCACGTCGGACTGGCTGCAGAAGTCGCCGCTGCCCACCATCATAGGCTCTCCAACCAGAGTGAGTGACTCTGTTGACACCATGTGTGATGTTACAGTTACAAACGCCTGACGTTCCAACCATGATCTTTACGGTCTACATATATTGTTTTTCCCAGATCATTTCTGGGCCGTTTAAAATTCCTAAAACACAGGCGTCCTGTAACTTGATGGCACTAGCAGACAGCCCTATACCCACCAGGACGTTAGCCGATGGTAGAGACATGTGCGCCCACCACTGCAGCCCATACATCAGCGGACGACCAGCGCCCCCCGAGGGCAGTCGGACGTTTGGCAGGTACAACTTAGTGTTTTTTTTTTTTTATAAACCATGACCGTGGATGAAGCTTGTTTGTCTATTGTAATGTGGTCACAGTGACCAATAGTGACTGTTAGACTGACCTCCAGTTTGACGACCGTGACGTCAGTTTGTCAGCTGGTTGACGTTGCGTTGACGCTGCTCTCTGTTTCCCCCGCAGGTCGGTCAGCACGGGTCGTCTGTCTGAGCAGCCAATCAGGATCACCCTGGGTGGACAGGCTTATCAAGGCAGCACGGAGAGCTTGAACACAGAGCGACCCATGGACACGGGTATGAACGAGTTCAATGATCCATATACTGTATGCTCACTCAGTTTACCTGAGTTGTCCTTTTATTATTACCACATTGACGAGGGAAAGTCCAAAGTTCTGAGAGCAACTTCAAATGTCACAATTTAATGACATAACAAAGACTTAGTCTTTTTTATTTTTAAATTGTGGGATATCTTTCTAATATTCCTTTAGTTTTGAGAAATGAAAAAAACAAAACAAATGGAGTTTAATATCTGGCAACAATTATAGTAATTATATCTGGTTAGAAAAAAAAAATTGGATTTGAAAATCTCATCCAATAAAATCAAACACAGCTGATAAAATTCCACACCTGTCTTAGAGCTGTTGATTTAAAGGTTTGAATCACATATGTGGACTGACTTAAAGACTAACCGTAACCTGGTACTGGCTCAGCCCCTGCAGGTCCAGTGGGCCAGTACACTCAGTGTGGCTCAGCGAGTCCCCGCACAGTTCTGTTCACCGTAGGATCACCTCCCAAAAGCAGCACTCCTCCGACCTGCAGCCACCTCTCCAGTCGACCACGGACAACGTCCGGTAAGAATCGTTCGCCTAAACAACAAGGAGAGGAAAGAAAAAAGCCGTCAGAGGTTCGTTGACTTGACGGTAATCTTCATCTTCTCTCCGCAGTGGGCTCCAACAGCTCAGCCGGTTCCCTGTGTTCTACCAGTGGGCGGGTCCACAGTGGCTCCCCCCAGGGCATGACCATTGGCTGCTCTCCCCCCGGAGGTTTCGGGGTTGGGCCCGGTGTTCTGGGAGCAGAGGGGGCTCCTAGCAGTCTACGCTACGTCCCTTACGGGACCTCGCCTCCGAGCTTGGAAGGATTTATCACATTTGAAGCACCTGAGCTGCCTGAGGAGACGCTGATGGAGGTGAGGAGGAAAATCTGAAATCGTTTACTGATGTCTGACCCTACAGATGCGTCATAGCAAATATGTAAATGACGTCATTTTATATATTTTTTAAGCGCGAGCACACCGACACGCTCATGTATCTGCGGATGATGCTCTCCTTCACCGACTGTGTCCTGGAGATGGCAGCAGTCCGAGCTGGAGGGGCGGAACTTGGGGCATCAGCAGCCTCGCTCTTCCCTCCCCAGGACAGTGTGGTGGTGGACCAGATTAGCCAACTCAGCAAAGAGTGGGGGTAAGATTGTGATCTGGCCTGATGTTTTATAGTAATGAGATACGCAGCAACTCCATATTTTTGTATGGGTAATTTTTCTTGCGTTGCAACATGAATTTTTTAAAAAAGTTTAATGTGAATGATTGTTTTTATAAACATCCTGACAGTGTTTTGTAGGAAACATATTCCAATTTTAATGGGTATTCATTTTAATTGTATATTATTATTGATGTTTTCAAGTGGTTCATTAATTTATTTTTTACTATATATTATTATTGATGTTTTCAACTGGTTCATTAATTTAATTTTTTATTTTTTTTTTAAATGTTATTGATTAATACAGTGTGCAGCCCATGAATGTGTAACCAGTCAATGTTGGTTGTAAGTCTTTGGTTCAGTAGTAAAGCTCACTGTGTGTCGGTGCTGCCCCCTACAGGCAGGTGGAGCAGCTGGTTCTGTACATGAAGGCGGCTCAGCTCCTGGCTTCTTCCCTCCACTTGGCCAAATCTCAGATCAAATCTGCTAAACTCAATCCTTCCACTGCTGTCAAACAAGGTGAAGATGAAACATATTTGTCTTTTCACCAGCAACAGAAAAGAGCTGCCCATCATTTCAAAAATTAAACTAAACCTTTCTTCTCTCGTCCCCCTAGTGGTGAAGAATCTGAACGAACGTTATAAAACCTGCCTCTCCCTCTCCCGGAGGCTCACGGACAAACTCAACAACTTCTTCTCTGACAAGCAGAGATTCGTTGATGAGATCAACAGCGTCACCGCAGAGAAGCTCATCTACAATCATGCGGTTGAGATGGTGCGATTGAAAGAGAAGAAAAAACAACGTCTTATCTTAATTCCTAAATGTTCTCAGCCTAAATTCAGCTGCTCTGTCTGTTTGTTCGTTCTCCAGGCTCAGTCAGCAGTTTTGGACGAGATGTTCAAGCAGACGGAAGATATCGCCTACCGCTACAGCAAGGCGTCCATGCTGCTGGACGGTCTGTCCAAGATCCTCCAGGACCCTGCTGACATTGAGAATGTGGTTAAATGTGAGTCAGCGTTTCCTGTGATATTTAACATGGTTGGTCTTGTGTAAGAGACACTTGTTTTAATAGTTTAGTCTCAGGTATTAGAAGGCACAGTGACGGATGTTGCAATACATTTTATGCTTCTTTTATATATATTTATTGTACTGTACTTTTATTTTTTTGCATATGCATATTTTGCCTGTGAGCCATGGTATCAGTATGTAATATATTTTTTAAGTAAATTAAAATGACAAAGTCGCTCTCTCGAATAAATGTGATATATATATGTATGTATGTATATATGTATATGTATGTATATATGTATGTATATATATACGTTTATATGTATGTATGTATATATGTATGTATGTATATGTATGTATATATATGTATGTATATATGTATATGTATGTATATATGTGTGTATATATGTATATATATGACTGGTTGGAGTCACACAGTCCAGTTTTATTTATGGTTTCCTAGAACCAACTGTAAAAACCAGTTTCCCCTTTTTAAACTCTTTCTAATCATAACAAACTCTGTTCTGCGTGTGTTTCCTGCAGACAAGGCGAGCGTGGACCGCAGGATCTCTACCCTCTGCTACTGCACTGTTACGCTCTACGAATAACAGACAACACACTCACTCAGACCATGTGGTCAGACTGTAGACGGCCTCTGTCTCAGAGCCACTCGTCCCTCTTGTAGCAGTTCAAGCACTTTTTTTTTTAATTTTCATCCATTTCATCTGTATTTATCGTTGCTTCTTTCTATTGGCTGTGACCAGCAATCATTGCACAAAGTTACTACCAAAGATGACCACACGTCCAACGACTGAATCCCAACCGTGACAGAAATCATGCACTCTGAAGTGCATGTCATTTAATACGGATATTATTATTATTATTATTATTATTACTGTTGTTGTTTTCTAACAAGAAGAAAACCAGGATGGAAACATCGAGACTTTTTTGTGGCTGTAAACAGACTGGAACACCACACAAATCTGCTCATATTCTAAAATATTGAACATACTTTTTATCCACACGAGTTTTTCTTTTTCTTTTTTTTTTATTTATTGTTTGTTCTTTTTCCTGTCTATCTTGAAACCCTGAAGTATTGAGGTGGAAGTGAAAAAACAAAAAAGAAGTGAGTGAATGCTTGTGGTCACTAATTTAAATTTAATACAAAACTGTTGCTTATGGAAAAATACTATGGCCCTATGTTACAGAACGTTAACATCTTTGAGAGCAAATGAAGTGGTTGACGTGTGATAGCTTTGTTTTGGTTTTTTTTGTTTTTTAGATGCTTTTTAGACATTGTTAGGTCAAGCACTTTATAGCAGTATGTGAGGAGGAGACGTATCTGCAAATACATAATCTGTAAACCTGAGGGTGATGTAAGCATCTGATCCGATCACTCCTGCTTTTATTTCTCTGTGTTTATAAAGAAACAAACTGGCTGCGAGCGTTTCCCACGAGGCCGATCGGCCCAGTTACCGCTCAGCCTTTTTTTTTTGAGCAGTAATTATCTTGAGATTTCCCAGATTTTTCTGCACACAGTACACTGATGTAGACTGTTAATACTTGTAATGAAAGGGGCATTCCACTTGTTTTTACTAGGTTTGGGTTGTTAGTTGTTATACAATGGACATGTTTACATCGAACACTACAACATAGAAAAGTCCTGGAGTTTGTATAACAAGCCGGGTTCCTGTTGTAGAAACCTGTGTGTGTATATATTTGTGGAGTGGAGTTTTCAGTCAACCATGATCTAATGTAACGGTTCCAGTACCAGAAACCTGTCGTTACCTGACGCTTTCAGTTATTCTTTCTAGGTCGTTTGCAGAGAATGACAATTGGACCATAAATGTTGAAATTCAATGCAATTCAATAGTTTTAAAAACGTTTCCACATCTTCAAGCCAAATTTGCACACATCTATAAATAGAAGTCAGTGCAAATGGTAGGTTTTTACCTACAGCATCATCAGTTGTAGCTTCTTAGTCCACTTTTGGGTCACAACCCACCATTTGAGAAACACAAATTTGATCTGATCTGAGAGTGGCATTAGGAGAAGAAAAAATGAAGGTTTGGTGGAATACCCCTTTAATTACAGAGTCATGGACTACACTGCTTGTGCAAACTGTTAAAATACTTACTGTCCTTCGCACTAGGTGAAATTTTTTCACGTTAAAAGTTTGGAACTCCTGGGCTGGTGACCAGCTCTGACCTTCATGGACTTTAGATGAATGTAAAATGACAGGCTTTTATTTTTTTTTCTTCTTCTTTCCTGTGGAGATGATGATGATGATGATTGGTCACGTATGTTAAGACCATACAACTTAGTGTTCAGAGTGAGCTCAGAACTCTAAATGAATCCACTCAAACATTGTGTAACTGTTTTTTTTATGTTGTATTTTTTTTAAACGTACTTGGTTTGAATCAAAGTTTTTTTTTTTTTCTTTCTTGTATATATTTCTGTGGTTCATCGTTTTTTAATTTGGGATAGGAGTGAGTGATGACTCAGTGTGTGTGCGAGATGGAGAAATCACAGTTTTGAGTATTGAGGCTTGTTGATGACGCCATCGGACACCTTGCCTGTAGGTCAATAAGCACAAATCCTTTGTACATGTATATACAGAATTTGATACGTTTTAATCATATCTGCCAGGGGAGGTTTTCATGTAAACCTACTGTGGCACAAGAGGGCTGTGCCAACGGATAAAACTTAACTTATGGCAGCTCTGACAACCTTCCAGAGAACTCTTTTTACCAGGACTGTTCACTGTCAGATTCAACACACACTATAGTTCAGTGGCTCTCGTCAAATTTCTTGAAATAAGAGTCACTTTTTCGAGACTTTGTGCTTATTTCTTTGAATTTAATGAGACAACATTTGTCACTACCTTCACTGCCTAGTATCCACCTAGTTCCTCTGCTGTCCTCCCAACAGTGTCTGTATGTACTGTAATATTAAGTGTACATATACATGTCTTTGCCAGGTGTGCATTAAGGCCAGTAGAACACGGTAGAGCCAGTGATGGAGGAAGGACGATTCTTCTTCCGGCGATAGCAGACATAGGCCTTCTCATGTACAGGTGTGAATAAATAGTTATCTGTAAAAAATGTGTATAGATCCATGTACAGGCCAGTGGCCAGACCCTGGCCTGTTACACAAAAGTACTGTTTTTTTTTGTTTTTGCTTCACACATCCACAATTTTTACCTTTCCTCTTCCACAACAAATGTATAACTGATAGAAATCCACCAGAATCTCTTTGTCCATAGACTGTAACTGAAGATGGGTGGTTTTGAATCAAGCATGGGTTCCTACTGACATGTATACATTACCCTATAGAACCTGTAGATTCCTGAATGTACATGTCCTGTTGTTTGACGCCTCTTGATCTGAATGCATTTTGGAGAAAACCCCCACTGTTAGTCTAGACCCTGAAGATGCAACTTTTCAAACTCTTGGGGGGTTTTTTGTTTGTTTTGTTTTTTTTCAAAGAAAATGTTGATGTTAAAAGTGTGTCTCGCACAAATGGGGGTCTCTGTTCTTCATGGAACTCAAATACAGTCTTTAATATTAAAGGGAGGAAAATTGAAAGTGTTAGTGTTTTTTTCTCCCACTTTTTCTTTGTAGCTTTCCAAACATGAGAGTAAAATCTGGAAAATAAAATGCACCACAAACAGAACTTCACATTTTTATAGAAATAAATTATATCGTGTTATATTCAGTTACCACAAACAGAACTTCACATTTTTATAAAAATAAATTATATCGTTCGATTATATTCAGTCGTGAAACAGAGCAAATACATTCCACAAACCACAAAAATATAAAATAAATTTAAAAAAAAAGGATTCCACAAACCACAAAAATATAAAATACATTTTAAAAAAGATGTCTGTTTAACCGAATCTGCGACTTTTGACTGTTGTTTTAAATGGTTTTGAAGGGAGGGGCTCATTTGACTATGCGGTCGTCTGATTGGCGTTTGGCTTTATTGACAGATATTCTATCCAATGGCTGACGCTGTTGCTGGGACGCGGTCCTTACAGCATTGAAGCTATGAAGCTTGTATTTAGTTCGTCAGCTTTAGTGCACTGTCGCTAGAAAGGTGAGTACAATTTTCTACAATTCCTATAAACGTTGCATTTCTTTCAGTACGTAACATTAAAACAGAACTTGCTTTAGCTTTAGCAGCTAAAGTTCGGTCACCTGTCATTTAGCATTTAGCTTGTGTGTTTAAACAGTTCATTTGCCCACAGTCACATATTATGTTTGATAAAACACACTAAAAACGTTTAGTTCTCTTGAGAATTAACCAAATAAACATACAAGTAAAAGGGTTTTTTTGTTACTCGAATTACTTACTTACCCCACAGTGATATGGTTGAAGGAAAGTTTACGCCACAAAAACACAGTGATATGGTTGAAGGAAAGTTTACACCACAAAAACATAATAGTCCTTTACTTTTTCTTTAAATTTATCGTTAATCTAATGTGTTGATATATAACGATAAATAGAATATAAACATGAATGCCCTTGGACATGGATTCATATTGTTCTTCATCCATTTTGTTAAAGATGTCCCGAGAACAGCTCGTCGTTGAAAGGACCAGGAAGGCGTTTCTCACAGGAAGTACCAAACCACTGAAGTTCAGGATCCAGCAGCTCCAGTGTCTGCTTCGCTTCATCACAGAGAGACGCAAAGATATTGCAGATGCTGTTCACAAAGACCTTTACAAGGTAACGTCTGCCCACGTCACAGGGTCAGCAGTCACTGGTCTTAAAGTTTCTAATCAGTCGAAATGTCAGTTATCATTTCAACAAACATTTCTGATTTAATTAAAGAATTAATCAACACTTGTGGTTCTGTCCAATCACCTGCTGCCAGAGCGAACATGGGACAGAGCTGTTCGAGACCCTGGGACTAGAAGGTGACATCCAGCTGGCCATCGAGAAGGTGTGGGAGTGGGCAGCTCCTCGGCCGGTGGAGAAAACTCTCCTCACTATATCAGATGAGGTCTACATCCGTCCAGAGCCTCTGGGAGTGGTTCTCATTATTGGAGCGTGGAACTACCCTTGGGCTGTGACACTGAAGCCACTAGTTGGCGCCATAGCTGCAGGTATGAAATGTCTCCACGTAGGACTGCAAGACCAAAACCTGAGCTTTTGGTTCTAGTCCCCGCACAAAGCAATCTCACCCTAAATACTGCTGGACCAGTAGGACATTGTTTCCCAAATCTCTTGCGACTATTTCTAAAAAAAAAAAAGAAGAAAAATTCGAGTTTACGAATAATGTTTATTGACTTGGGTTGCAAAGGTTTGTGACTTTTAAAATGTGGATCCCCTGCTGGCGACACACATTGATACTATTTATTTTTCCTATTCTGTACTGGTCATCAACATGAGTTTTATGGGTTTTTCTTTCAAGGGCTGGAATTAACTTTTTTTTTTTTTTTTTTTAGGGTTGGAATTAACATTGTATTTTGTTTATGTTGTCATTTGATTTGCTGATCTGGGGTCTGTCCTTGACACTGTAGGTAACGCAGCAGTAATAAAGCCGTCAGAGATCAGCTCACACTCTGCCAAGCTCATGGAAGACCTCCTCCCTCTGTATCTGGACAAGGTCGGTGTCACATTTCCCCCTGTTTTATTGACATCTGCAGTTGAATGTTCAGATTTTTATTCACAGCGTAAACTTTTCTCCAGGATCTGTACCCAGTAGTGACAGGCGGAGTGACAGAGACCCAGGAGCTGCTGAAGCAGAGATTCGACCACATTTTCTACACAGGAAACTGCACAGTTGGTAAATTGGTGATGCAGGCTGCGGCTCAGCACCTCACCCCCGTCAGCCTGGAACTGGGAGGAAAAAGTCCCTGTTTCATCGACAAGAACTGCGACCTCAATGTCGCATGTCGGTCAGTGTCATGTTTTAAATGGTAGCTGAGCGGCTCCCTTTTAATCTGGTGTAACTTTTCCTCCGCTGCCGTCTCTTTTATTCTCTGTAGCCGAATCACGTGGGGGAAATTTGTCAACTGTGGTCAGACGTGTATCGCTCCGGACTACATCTTGTGTGAAGCCTCGATCCAGAGCAGAGTAGTGGAAGAGATTAGAAAGTGCATTAAGGTTAGTAGGACATTAATATTTAAATATACACTTGTTTGACCAAACACAGATTTTGTTTTGATTGTTTTCTGTTTAAAGGTTTATTAGCGTTTTTATATGTGTTAGGCTAACATTTAAATATACACTTGTTTGACCAAACGCAGATGTTGTTTTGATTATTTTCTGTTTAAAGCGTTTTTATATATGTTAGGCTAACTCCATCGTCCTGACAGAACTAGTCTTTATGGACTCAATTTTTGTGATGCATTTTGCAGGAGTTTTACACGGAAGATCCAAAGACCTTTAAGGACTACGGCCGCATTGTCAACCAGCGGCACTTCAGAAGGGTCGTGGCTCTGATGGAGGGCAGCACAGTGGCTCTGGGTGGAGACAGGGATGAATCCCAGTGTTACATAGGTACAGTATCAAGTCACGTTTCCAAGTCACCAGCTTGTCCGATCTGAACAGATTTCGACAGCAGGGGGCACTGTTGCTTAACAAACGTAATTTGCATCCATTCAACGCTGTTCTTAACAAACGTAATTTGCATCCATTCACGCTGTTTTTTTCCCTATTGCAACATGGTGTTTTAATGGTGGAAATATTCCCAAGTGCTACCAGTATAACCAACATTCAAATACAGCAACATGGGCCCCCACTGTTTAACTACGCACAGTATATGAAGAACAAATATATTGTTAATTTATCAGGTATAAGGTGTTACTGCGACTGGTATTTTTATTATATTACATACACACACACACAGGCAGAGCAAGCAAATATATGGCAAGATTATATAGAAATGTAATGTAATTTACTACAGAGTCTTGCTTAACCCTAATCGAGATCAGAGTCCAAGGTTTTTGAGGTCTTTTTGTTACTGTTAATGCCTTAGTCTAAGGCCTCAGTCCAACAAAGAAATGCACCAGAAATGTAAGTTATGTAAAACTTAAAATTAAGTAAATTCTTCCTAACTAACCAAGTTAAGTTAATTATTTATAGAAAAGCACAACTAACTTAAACCTGACATTTTTAATGCAGTAATATTTTTAAATACATGTTCATATACAGGAAATTATTTTTTTGTTTAAAAGAAATAATAAATAAAACAAGTAATAAATACATTTATTTTTTTATTTTTAATTCTCCTGTTTCAGCACCAACCGTTCTCAAAGATGTAACAGGAACATCGACAGTGATGACGGAGGAGATCTTTGGGCCAGTCCTGCCCATCATCACAGTGAGCGGTTTGGACGAGGCCATCGGCTTCATCAATGAGAGAGAGAAGCCGCTGGTCGTCTACGTTTTCTCTCATGACAAAAAGGTGAACTCATCACCACCTGCCCTGAGTCCAGTCCACCTCTTATTGGTCAACTCTTTCTGACATCTTTGTTTGACAAAACAGCTGATCCGAAGAGTGATCACCGAGACTTCTAGTGGAGCTCTGCTGGCTAACGACTGTCTGGTCCACGCCACCGTCAGCGCCCTGCCGTTTGGAGGAGTAGGTGAGTGTGTCTCTTTGAGGGACAAAGCGACATGCCGTTCGGAGGAGTAGGTGAGTGTGTGTTTGTGTGTGTCTTTCACAGTTTTTTTATTTTATTTTTTTAGCTGAAAGTCCCCTAACATCAGTGTCTCCTCAGGTAACAGCGGTATGGGCTGTTACCAAGGGCGGCACGGCTTCGATCGGCTGAGCCACCTGCGAAGCTGCCTCATCAAGAAGCTGAACATGGAGGCGGTGAACAGCATGAGGTATCCTCCGCACACAGCCAAGAAAATGGGCTGGGTTCGATTCTTCCTGTTCAATCAGGTCAGCGTGTGCAGACTGCGTCGAATGGCTCTTCTCACTCTGGTCACAGTGGTGGCAGGGTTCCTTGTCCAGGTAAAAAAGAGGAAACAAATGCTGCATTATCACATCATCACTCACATTATTAATTATTAGTGCTGCCACCAAGTCACATTTAAGATACAGATACATAAGATACAAATAGATACAAGTTCATTTTCTTATTTTAATTAGTGAAAAAGTAATTTGCTATATGAAATAGAGATTCTTGTTATATAATGGTTCGTATCAATACTGAAATCTGTCTTTTTTGTCCACAAACCAGTGATATATATTTTTGGTTGGAGATAATCTGAAGAGCATATAAATATATCATGTATCATCATGTATCAAAATACATATAACAATTTCTCATGATGTAAATCACCCATTTATACTTATTATTGTTATTTTAATTTTTAGTTTAAAACTGTATAATGGAGTAGGACGTGAGTGTCCGTAGTCATCGTTAGGCTGTAAAATTATAAATGTCAAACAGGATGTGACGTCAGTCTGTTGAATAGCTAACTGTTGCATTTGGGAGAAAATAGATGATTAATTTACATTGTTGCCAACCGTACTGATCAAGAAGTGAAAGCACAGTTTGGTTAAAATATTTTACGTCAAACTGTCGCAACACTTTGTCTGACACCGGGGGCCGTTCTGTTTGACTAACCTGTGCAACAGTCGGTGTTTTAAATGGAATGACTTGAGACGTGAACGGCACGTTTTCAATCACGGGAGAAGACAATTATCAGAAATTAACCTGTTGTAACTGTTTTGTCTTCATTAATGATTGAATGACTTTTTTTTTTTCTTTGACCACACGGAAGGATTGATGTTTTTAGTCCCATCTCTGTGTATTAAGTCACTAATAAGGAGGAAAAACCTGTAAATCTCAACAACCAACTGTTTGTTCATAGGCTCATGAAAAAACAAATCTCAACCGTGACGAACTAATTTTCCCGTGAAACTCAAACATGACTTCACTGCAGCACATGCCCCAGTCCCACAGACCTGAACCATCACACAACAATGGCTTTGTCCGCGGCAGACAATTTGTGCTGTTGTCCAGGATATCAAACAACGACTGCCCCCGCATCTGCCTTCCCTTTAATTACCCAGCATGCATCACGCACACGAGCTAAATGGCCCCCTTTGTCTCCGTCACCCCCACTTTAATGTTTGTCGACATGCACACTTGTCCTGCTCCCGTGAACAGTTGCAGTATCTGTTATCTCACTCGTGGTCACCTTTGTTTCTCTCCTTCCTGCAGCGCCGCGTGCGTCGGATCGGATGAGAAAGGACCGCGGCCTGTGTTGAACCCTGATCCTTGGACACCGGTGTAGACACCTGACCTGCAGTGATACCAACCACACCTGCCATTTATCTAGGTTATCCTGTCCATTTTATGTCCAACATGATCATCTGCTTCGATGGAAAAAAAAAAGATTTTATTGTCTGATGTCTCAACATGTCAATCACACAATCAATAATTAACTTTGAAGCTTCTAATGTTTACAGTAACAGATTGTTTGATTGCGCTCAAAAATTAGTGTCATTTTTTTTTCATTTTACAGTTTTATCTGACTTTAAAACAGTAAAATCAAATCACTCATTGGACCATGTACAGAAAACTAAAATAAAACCAATCATAATATGTAAAAGAAAAAGTAAATAAGTTTGCAAAAAAATGTTTTATTTATGTTAGCACTAATATATATTAAGAAAATATTTCTGAGAATAAATGATGTCTACTTGTGTGTAGTCAGTGCTCCAGAATTAGAAAAATAATCTCCTGATAACTGTTAAGTTATTATAAGCCACTAGTTTGCATTAGTGGCTTATAATTAACCCAGTCAATCATTTTACAACCCGTCGATATGAGTGAATATTTAGCTCAGATACAGGCTGTTAAAAAAAACAAAACCAGTGCTTATAAAATGTTTGTATGTTTATGACTAAATGGACTGTCAGTGTGTGAATGTGTGTGTGTGGGTCGGGGGTGGTCTTCTGTCAGAGTCAGTGACGTTGAAGCGTGTCTGACATCTGAGCTGCTCTCGTATCAGAGTAGAATCTCACAGACGGAGACACAGAAGCTGCTCTGCACTGAGGTAAGAACAACAACATTTAATTCATGTCATAACTTTGCTGTTTTGATGATGAATAGTTTGCGTTTTGTCTTATAATCTGTTTGTTGTCAAGTGTAAACAAATGAAGATTAATGACAATGATGGAACTTTGGAACAGAAATTTAATTCATTGTTCAAAGTGTTGACTTGTTCTAGGTCTGAATATCAGGATTGTCAATAACAATTATATTGTGAAATGTTGGTAGTCAGGAGAAGTCTTTGTCAGTTAACCAACATTATTGAGTCATGTAACCGACATGGTTTAACACACGTAACTCACGTAAATCTGTTTATTACCTGAAGTCGAAACTAAATCTGATATAAACATCATCCCAATGTAAACGTGTTTCCTGGTCTAATGTCTCCATGGTCTGGACCATGTGTGTGTGTTTGATGGTAACATCTTTTCCAAAGATTTATTAGTTTAACAACATTTATTCTGCAGAACATTTACTCATCTGTGTTTTCATATTGAAAAGCTAGAACCGTGATGCTTCTGCTTTATTATTTATTTTTTAGATCTTTAGATAGATGAAAACACAAAATGGAACTAAAAAAAAGTCTCCACTTCGGGACCAAAACTAAAGTTAAATCTCTGAACTGCAGTCTCCACAGAGTGTCAGTTGATTTCTGCTGTGGATCAGTGTGCGTATGGAGAGGCAGGCGGTGCAACGGGCCAGAGAGGCCTTCCAGAGCGGCCGGACGCGACCTCTGGAGTTCAGACTGCAGCAGCTCCACGCTCTGCAGAGGATGATCACCGAGAAGGAGACGGAGATCGCCACCGCCCTGAAGCAGGACATCAACAGGGTGAGGGCGACAAACACACAGCTGTGAATTATACCGCCCAGTGTGTGGGCCCGTGTTCTCGCAGCTGACATAACACTTGGTTTTTCCCACAGAGCCAGTACGACACGCCGCTGCTGGAGCTCATCGGCATAGAGAATGAGATCAAACTGGCCATTGACAGGATGGCGCAGTGGGCAGCTCCTCGTCCAGTGGAGAAGAATGTTCTGACTATATCAGACGAGGTTTATATTCAGCCAGAGCCACTGGGAGTGGTGCTCATTATTGGAGCGTGGAACTACCCCTGGGCCCTCACACTGTTGCCACTAGTTGGAGCTATAGCTGCCGGTAGGGAAAAAAGTTTCTCTTTCACATCAAATCTCAATCTCAACTAAATGGAAACATTTCTGAAAAATGTCTCAGCTCAAATTCAAATCAGTTTGTTCTCTGAGTAGAATAGTACATCATTTTATTGCTAATAATAATGATAATATTTAACTAATATTTTATAACGATAATAAAATAGTAGTGCTGAGTGTAATACAAGTAAAGTAAATATTTTTTAGTTTATTGGATTGAGTAAGTGTCTTGGCCTTTTTATAGCCTTTATAGTTTTACAACATATCATGTTATTACTTTATTGTTTTTTTATAGATAGATGTAGAAAATTAAAGCCACTCTTCAGACTCAATGACTCATGAATTGATCTGTCAGAGAAACTCAATTTCATCCTCAATTTACCTTAAAAAATGCACATTTAAAGTGACGTTGAGCACTTTATGTATTATTATATTTTTGATGTATTTGATGTGTTTTTTTTGTTTGTTTTTGTTTATAAATCAAGTATGTTATATCTGTCAGAGTGACAGAATGCCTTGGGCCCCCCGCAGCGCTGTCTCCTCTCAGTTTCTGTCACACACACAGAGTGATCTCATCCCATTCACAGAATCCCGTGTTTTCTCTCTCGCTCTCTGCAGGCAACGCAGCTGTGGTGAAGCCGTCCGAGCTGAGCGAGTATTCTTCTCTGCTGCTGCGGGCGCTGCTGTCACGTTATCTGGACAAGGTCTGAGTAATGATCATAGCTGCTGTTAACACTGTGCTGGGCTTCAGACACATGTCCGCTGCCGGGGCTGGGTGGAGCTGTCGTAGGACTAGCGTTCAGTGTGACCTTTAACCAGGCGGACAATGCTGCTTAACAACAATCAACAGAAGGATCAGGGGAGAATCATTAGGAACCGTAGTGACTGATTGGAGCTCACAGGTCGAGAAAGATTTCCATTAGAAGTATATGGTTTTACTGCTACTTCAAGGTCCTTCAAGCAGAGCAACAAATGTTCGTACTGCGTCTTGTTGTGATATCTAAACCGGTGGTGGATTCAACTGTAAACACATTCTGAGGCTTCACTGTTGCAGCAAAGGTTAATCTTTAAATGATTGCTTAATTAAGTTGCTATTTTAAGCATTTCTTCCTTGTTTCTTCCTTTTTTTCCTCCCTTTTTTTAACTTTTCATTATAATGAATCTTCTTACTGGGGATGTCAGATAATATCAGTGGACCGATATTATCGGCCAGATATTATTGGCCCGATATTAGCATGTTATGTAATATCTGTGAGAATTGTTATAGGTTTTTCCTCCGATAATGAAAAGCCAATAATGCAATGCCTTAGGTTTCGCCAAATGATGTCTGACCTCAAAGCCAATAATGCAATGCCTTAGGTTTTGCCAAATGATGTCTGACCTAAAAATAGTTTTGGAGCTAAACGGCTGTGTATTAAAGAGAAGGTCACTAGATGGCAGCATTGTAGCTGATTTAATTAATCTCCTACTCATAAAGATAAATAAATCAATATTACCAGGCCTATATCGATATCGGTTGATATCGGAATCGGAAGTTGTGTTTGGACAATATCGGCATATTGGATATCAGTAAAAAAAAGTTGATATCGAACATCCCTACTTCTGACCCACATTTTAAGTTTTTGAATTTGCCTACGTGTGTTTACTGATTGTGACAAATGGCATCTGTAAAATAAAAGTAAAATAAAATGAAAATGATTTATATTTTAATCAAACACAGATGATTCACACACAACTTTTGTCTTTTTTCCTGCTGCGTCCTTTCAGGAGCTGTACCCAGTGGTCACAGGTGGCGTGGCAGAGACCCAGGACCTGCTGAGGCTGAGGTTCGACCACGTTTTCTTCACAGGCGGCAGCACGACTGGTAAACTGGTGATGGAGGCCGCAGCTCAACACCTAACGCCAGTCACACTGGAGCTGGGGGGGAAGAGTCCCTGTTACATCGACAAGGACTGTGAGATCAGAGTCGCCTGCCGGTAATGACCTCCACAGTGACCTCAGCAGTGGACGGACACAGATTTACTGACCTGAACAGACCAGACCACGAATTACCAACCGTGTGGTTTGTGTTTAGAATCAGGGATTAATAATGTTACAACATATCATATGGAATAAAAAGCATGGGTTGATTAGGAAAAAAGGGTGGGATTTTATACAACATTGTTACAGTATCTTAGATAAAAATATTTATATAGATATAAAAAAATTATACTGGGCAGTAACTTTCAAAGAAAATAGTACAGAAATTAATTTGTGACTAAATGGGGAAAACATAACCACACTTTATAACCAAATATCATGTTATTTTCTTATCTGTGCTGTTGTTGTATTAAATGGTTAATTTCTTTCTTTTTTTTTTACCAGATTTTATTTGACAATTTAAGACATGTTTTGGAATATTTTTTGGGGTCATTTTAACAGTTCTTTGGTGGAATTTTACCAATTCTTGCATTACAGTTAGGTGAACATGAATACCTTGGATAAACCTGGTTAATTTTTAATTTTTATAATTTATGTTGATTCTTTTCAGGGCATTTTTTATGTTTTATTTACAGGTGACCTTTAGATAAATTGTCTTTGGTCTCATTTCAGACGCTAATCAACTTTTCTATGGCTAAAATTAAAGTCAGAAAATCGTTAGCACTTTGTTCCATCCTTCATGTCCGCCCTGTGATGACAAATGTTTCAATATGTGGTTCACATGCAGCCGTATAACGTGGGGAAAGTTCGTCAACTGTGGTCAGACGTGCATCGCTCCGGACTACATCCTGTGTGAACCCAGCATCCAGAGCCAGGTGGTGGACTGCATCAGACTGACGCTGCTGGTAACTCTTCATCTGTCGTCTGCTCTGACTGGACACGTGACTATCACCGTGTACCAGGTGGTGTTTCATCGGAACCTTTTTTTTTTAAATCAACCGTAGGAGTTCTACGGTGCCGATCCGAAATGCTCGCCAGATTACGGCCGCATCATCAACCAGCGTCATTTCAACAGAATAATGAGTCTAATGGAGGGCTACACTCCTGTGGTGGGTGGGCAGAGTGACAGCTCCCAGTGCTACATAGGTACACATAAATACTGCAGTAATGTGTACACCCTGTGTGTGTGTATTGCTGTACAATGAACATTTTGATCCTCCCCTGGAAGCCCCCACAGTGCTGAAGGACGTGCCCCCCCACTCCAGATTGATGCAGGAGGAGATCTTTGGTCCCGTGCTGCCCATTGTGACTGTGAGTGACATGGACGACGCCATTCGGTTCGTTAATGAGCGGGAGAAACCTCTGGCCTTGTACATCTTCTGTAATGACAAAAAAGTGAGAAGAAAAAAAAAATATATATAGATGTGATTTAGGATTTTGTTCTCATGTTTTTCTTTGCTTCACCTGTTTTTCCCCCTCCTGTTAAAGGCTGTAAAAAGGATGATTGAGGAAACGACAAGTGGAGGAGTGACAGTCAACGATGTCATGATGCACTACACGCTCAGCTCGCTGCCGTTTGGAGGCGTAGGTAAGTCTCTGGGGCAGGGTTTAAAACCGGGGGGAGAAATAAAAAAAATAGCAAATGAGTTGGAGTAAGTTCTCCATGTTTACATTTGGTGTTCTACTACAAAATATGGTGCGCTTTATGGATATGCAAAAGAAGCTATGATAGCCGTTAGCGCCGTTGCTAGCGGCTAATATTTTAGCGCCAAGTGACATCAGATAAACAATGTAAAAGAAAGTATATAACTCTTTTTTACACTGTAGTAGCACAGTTGTACTTTCTTCTGAAAACACCAGTCCTACTACTGTGCTTGTAAACTGGAACAAAGACGCTGGTCTAGTTTACTGACGTAGTTCAGCTAAACCTTTAGCTTAGCTGAATTTTTAAATGTAAACTGTTTGAGAGTTTGGCTGGTGTTAACATAATGGTTTAAAGATTTAAGATGATTTATTGGAAAAAACATAATTATGGCCTAAATACAAGTTATTTCACAAAGAAGGATGACAAAACTTAATCGCCCGATCTCGGCTACTCTGGGGGTTTATTAGTAACTAAATAACTCGCCTGCCCCTACCCCCTCCCCCCAGGGCACAGTGGTATGGGCCGCTACCATGGCAAACACACCTTTGACCAGCTCAGCCACCAGAGGGCGTGTCTGATCCGCTCTCTGAAGATGGAGAGCGTCAACCTAGCCAGGTACCCTCCCCAGGACCGACGACGGGCACGAAGGTCACGTATGGCCCTCAAGTCCCCCCTGATTGACATGTCCAAGAGGACACTTATCTGGGCAATCTCAGCCACCGTTATTGGCTTTGGGCTCTTGGTCGCCCTGGTGGTCATCCTCCTCATTGCAGCAGGCCTCAACTGTACATGTTGGTACTGGAGAGGATTTTATAACTACTTCTAGACACTGTAAAAACAACTGCAGGTTCCTGCGTCCTGCACCAACACCGTGGTCAACACAAAGTCAATCCCCCCCCCCCCCCCCCCAGATCCCCAAAAAGACTAACTTTCAAATCCAGAGTGTTTGAATTTGTATCTGATAAAACACAATTCCTCTCCTGTAAATAGAGAAATCATATGTACACCTTCAGTGAAATTAAGCCTTTTCAAGTCTTTCTTTTTTTATTCAGAAATAAAAATTATTGTTAAATGTTTTAAAATTATTTTGTAAAATCCCATTCTTCCCATCCCATCTTTTTTATAGTTTAGTTCAGACAACGTCGTCTTATCAGTATTTTTTTGCACCGTTTGTCTCATTAAAAACAAAAACAAACAAAATGTCCCTTGTCATATTTTAGTTCCCAATCGTAGGCGCAGGTTAAATAAATAGCCACTAGGTGGCAGCAAACAGCTGATATAAATTCAAACGGTCAGCCAATTGTCTGATAAAAGCAACTAATTTTAATAAACCTAGAGAAGTATTACAGTACTGCAGCAGGGACATTTACTATCTGTCTATATTTTTTTGTCTTTTATTCTCTTTTTTATTCTATAAAACCAGTACATGGCGTTATTTATAACCAGCGTGCAGTTTTCAATGATAGAAATGCATTTCTTGTTTTTGATAATAATGGCTGTGACCAAGTTAAAGGGTTTAAACCTATCTATAATAATAGTAATAATTATTATTATGATTATAATTATTATTATTACTATAATAATAATATTATTCTTATAACAAGAACTTTTTTAAGTATTATTATTATTATAACAATTATTGTTATTATATTTTAATTACAGTTTGTTCTAACTAACAAACTAACCAAACTAACTAACTAATTAACAGTCATAAACCAATGTAACCGTACACATTCTGGACCCTGGCCAAGGTTGAGTCACAGTCACAGTCTCTGCTCTGCTCCACTTAGCTCAGAACAGACAGAACAGTTTTATAGTTCTACAGAGTTGTGTTCACATCAGCCTTCAGCTTGTAAAGCAGTAAAAGAAGCACCTACTTATAAAACCTTTTTCCAAAATAAGATTACAGAGTTCTTTGATGTCTCCACAATAAAAGAGACAAACTCAATAAAATCAGACGCCTAAATTAGAATTGAAGGAGCGCCAAACGTACACTTGTCCTAGTTACAGTTACAAAAGCTGTCAAGTGTCACTGTTGTCTTGACATTTAAATGAAATTGAATGATAAGTGACTTTCTCTGTATCCTGAACCACAGTCTGTGGACTGACCTCAACACCGAGGCAGTAATTTACATTAACACTTCATTTCTGGATGTTTTAAACTGAATCTAATCAGATGATCCACGACTGTGTGACTGATTGATGGAGCACTCTGTGGCCCGGGGGGCAGACGGAGGCCAAGGAAAGGTCAGAGGTCAACTGTCAGTCTTTCCTCACATTAGCTGTTAGTGTGACATAGGTCTAGGTGAAGTCAGTGTTAGTCAGACAGTCAAGGAAGTAGCCTGTACAATGGAGTACTAAGTAGAGACAGAAACCTAATTAATTTCATGCAAACAAAATTGTAAAACTACAAGAAAAATGTACATTTTTCTTGTAGTCTTGTACAAACATTTTTAGCAGTATTAAAACATTTTTTGAGACTTTTTATAATTTTTTTAACGATTGTTGGTCACAAGTATGAAGTCACTTATACTCATTTAATCATTTTTTAAAGCAAACAAATCTTCTTTACAGCTACTGGTGACAGTGCCACATATATCTTAACTTTGGAAGAATCTATTCAAATTTTTTTTTTTTATCCGAGGACAAAATAAAATTCAATACTTTAAGAATCTTGAAATTGAAATTAGAAATTAAACTTTTACTGTTTTGTTTGAATTTGATTTGTCAGAATTAGAACAGGCCTTTAACAACTGCGACACTGTCAATATCTGATCTTGTGTCAGTTTCAGTTGACTCTTCCTGTCACACACACACGGTATAATTTGCTGTAAACATCCTGTCGTGTCTCATAAACCACAGGTTATTTCATTATTTGGACGTGGAACTTCTAACTCAGCTCACTTCACCTCGAGCAGCAGTCGCTCACATTCCTCAACACAACACACTGAGCCAGTCATCGCTTGTTCACTCAACCATAATTTTGTGGCATCCAGTGCCAACTCGCTGACTTACTGCTACAGGCATTTCAGAGCAAAATCACTGCTTTGTTACTGTTGTTCTTTAAAATGAACTTTTTTTTCTTTCATATTACACATGAATTCTCTCTGCTTTTAAATGGTGTCTCTGACAAGGTCTGGAATTGACATTTCTTACTGACCTTTCTGAAGAGGAAAAAAAAAAAAACGTGACAATTATAGCGATTCATTTTTCCAAGGTCCGGACCTTGGAAGTCAGAACCAAACCATGCAGTACTGATGTGGATTTTATGTGATTTTTTTTACACCATTTTTGACTAAAGTTTCTGTATATTGTGTTACTTTCTATAGTGAAAGTAATGGGTATAAGAAGAGAAGCCAACGTGTCAATTTCTCATACAGTCATAATTCAGAAACCCTAGCCACTGCCCCCCACCTTAGCAAAATGAACTGTTGAGCAGGCTGTGAGAAACAGCTGCGCTGCATTACTTAGTAACTGTTGCTATGGTAACAACCTCCCCTCCAACCTTGACACGTCTGTTGTTCCAGTGGCTCTCCTCAATTGTAGCGTTTACCCAGATGAGAGACGAAAACCACACTGAACAAAATGATGCTGTTAGCTTCTGTTAGCTTCTGTTAGCTGCAAATCGACCAAAATGGACATAAGGTCAAATGAATGACCTTAAATATACAAAGAAACCGTGAGGGTAAAAACGTAATTCAACGTTCAGGTTTTATATGTTGTGATTTAGATTTGTTAACATAAACCTGCTACAGTTTATCATTTTTAATTTAATTTAATTTAATTGTAAAATAGCCTAAAGCAGTGATTCTCAACCTCTTGGCACACTAGTGTGTCATCAGAGATCATAAGTTTATGTTTAAATCTAAATAAAAATCATTATATCACAAATCTATTTTTTCACTGATTTTCATCCTTATAATTCAGATCTTAAACATGAAAATAAAATTTAAAAAAAAAATCCCACAGATTGAACAGGTAGAATCTGCTGATATCAGAGCTCTGACAATCAGTGAAGGACCTGCAGCTGTGAGGACACACCTGTGGAGAGGGATTGTGTTAATTGTGCAGGAGGAGGAGGAGGAGTTTCGTCCTCAGCGTTCATTTCATTTATCAGAGCTGCAGAGAGAAGTGTCGGTGTGTTTTCAGCCATGGGCTTCAGTCTGGTTCTTCTCTTTGGCTTTGTTGCTGCTGTGAGGCTTGGTGACGCCCGACACCTCAGTAGGAAAATGCCAACCTACTGGGATTTCGTGGCCCAGAAGCCTACCCCAGGAGCAGAGCCTGAGAGGAGGAACTCCAGGACTTCTGCTCAGCAGGTGGACACCTTCCAGAGTCAGCCCAGTACCAACGCGCTGACCTGGAGGTTTCCAGAACCTCCCGTGGATCCAGTGAGCACTCCTTCTGGTGAATTTGAAGTGCCGCGGCCTCAGGCGTCCAAACGTGTCGCTGTGAGATGTGGAGAGAACCGAGTTCAGGTGGAGCTGAAACAGGACCTGCTCGGTATCGGCAAACCCATCAGACCAGAGGAGATCACTCTCGGTGGTTGTTCACCCACCGAAGTTGATGACTGGTCCCACGTGATCGCCTTTGAGTCGGAGCTGCACGGCTGTGGCAGCAGACTGTTGGTACGTCTCTGAAGAAAGTTTTTGAATCCTTTGTCACGTCTCAAAAAGGCAGATTCTTAAATGTTTTTTTTTCTTCCACAGATGACAAAACATACCTTCGTTTATGTTTTCACTCTGGTCTACGACCCCATCGTGCTGGACAACAGTGGCATCACCAGAAGTCAGAGGACTGTGGTCGCAGTGGAGTGTCATTATCCCAGGTGGTTCCAGGATCTGCATCAGTCAAAAGAGAGCTTCAGGTCAATGTGAGAGCGAGAGAGAGAGAGGGAAGAAAGAAAAAGAAAATTGTGTTTAATGTGAAATCCCAATAAAATATTTTTAACTTGCTAAAAAATGCTAATGTGAGTATAAAATTATTCTGTATGAAGTTAACATCACACTGACTGTCATTATCGCCTTTTCTAAAAAAAAAAAAAAAGGATTTTGCATAAAGTGATTTTTTTTTTTTTTTTTTTTACTGACTGCAGCTGTGACTGGGGATG